ATTACTAATAATGTCTGTAGTGCACAGTGGAGATTTTACTTCTGGCATAAAAAAAAAAAGAATCTAAATCAAATCATGTGTGAGGTTCTGCACCAACACACACACTTGAGGGTGTTCAGAGCCATCGATGGCAGAGAGAGTAGAATAAAGGCATCCAAACAATTCAGACAGGGGAAAAACAGGGGTGAGAAGTGAGATGGTTGCCATGACAACAAAGAGGCTTTTAGCAACAAGGGAAAAGGGTTGAGGGATTTTAGCACTCATTAGCTTGTGAAGATCAAGAGGGGTGGAAAATGTTGCTACTTTTTTCAAGCGGGAGGCACTTCAGGAATACTCAGCGCATGTTTGCTTGACGGTGGTGCTGGTGATTAAACCTGCGTTAGAAAAGTTCAAGAGCCTAAAAAAAAACAGCAGTTGTGACGTACTGCTGCAGTGTAGTCCAGGGCTGGTTTCAAACTGCTTCACTGATTCGGATGGCTGTTTAAAAGGATAGGGTTATTGAAAAAAACAACAACGAATTGATCCTACTAACGAGTATTGTCTGTGCATTGATATGTTTTATTCCTCTGTGCCATTGAGCTTCATTGTTACTGCTAAACTATTAAAAACACATCTATGAACTATACGGGTAACATATTCAATCATTCAAGGGCCCTGTAGTTTATTTTGAGTCAATGCCAGATACGCCGTCATGTTGCCATAAATACTCCGTGCATAAAATTGTGTACATAAATCCACTCCTGTAGTGTTTGCTAAAATCTGTAGTGCCCAGCTCTTCAAGGGAATTTTCTCAGCCAGCTCCAATACATTTGTGACCCGTTTTTAAAGATTTAGTTTAGTAAAAAAACAGTGGTCTTGGAGCTGAGCGCAACAGACAAGGTAGGAAAGTAGTTAGAGATCTGTTTATTACATGAATAATATAGAATAACGCCCGACTTCAACAAGCAGAATATAAGCATCTACAGTACAAGACTGAGCAGCAGGGAACAAATATGCAGCTATTAAAAATGGAGAAGCCTCAATAGATTAAAATACACCAACAAGCATATTTCTCACAATAAAATCATCTTTCTAAACCATAAGCTTTGCTCACTATATTTTGTAGTTTAACTTTTTATATGTTGCATTTTAATATAAACAGACATTCAGGCAAACAAAAGGCATTTGAATAGAAAAATAACCTGAAGCTGTTATCTATTATTCATTATGCGCCTATCGTGATAGATCGACGCCTGTGCAAATTAAAATCCCCTCACTCCCCTGTCTACTGTGGTCATATAATCACACAAGCTTGTAGCATGTGTGGCTGTCTGCGTTTGACCTAAGGTGCCAGCCAAGTTTCTGTTTCTGATCTAGAAGTTTACAAAGAGCCAAAGTGAAGGTTTTTCCACAGTGAGATTCACATTCAAACACAAGTTTTAAACCTCATGCATACATGCGCTCTGGTGAGGATAATCAGACAGGTGCTACCTGAAATTTTTTATGCCATGTATTTATCAGTGATATATACATAAAGAAGTCTCTTAATCAGAAAGGTGTTTGGTTGCCCGGTGGTCAGCATAATTATTTTTTTTCCCTCAGTGGATAAGATGTGCAAAGTCTGTAGTATCAAGTGTCTCGTAAGAGCATCAGCGGTTTATTAAACTTTTTAATGCTACCTGTAATTCTGTTTAACACAAATGATCCAGGGTAAAAAAACAAACAGAAAAATAATGACTCACAGTGGAGGAAGAACTACTTTGATCTGACAGTGATTAAACAAGCAGGTACTCCTGATGCATCATTAATACATACCATGAGGGGATAGATTTACCCTAAAAATGTGAGGTACACTGCTTCGTCACAGTAAAAAAAAAAAAAAGGCTGATGTATCTCCTGTGTGATTGTTTGACCATGAGGAAGACAAGTGTGGGGTCATTGGACATGTTTTTAATAAGGGCCTTTTAATGTTTTGTACTATCGAAGCACAGAATCTATTCCCTTCTCTATAGACAAAAATATGTATGGTAGTCAATGGCGAGAGACAACTTATTTTTTGATCCTGTTTGAACTGTGCCCTGAATTACACATGATGTTTGTCAATTTAAAAGCTAATTTTGTCTGTCAAGAAATTTATAGTTCTCTCATCTCATATATAAGTCACCAACATGTTAGCGCGGTAATGCTAGCTAACGTTTACTGCTTGCTTGCTGCTAGCGAGATAACTTAGCGAAGTTCCATGCAGAAATAGATCTCACCTGATGTGTTTAATCCAACAACTCTCAGTCCTTTTTTATCACATCATCCTCTCATATAAGTTCTTTGACGTTAGCTTCATTAACGTAAGCTTCAGTCATTGAGAGAAAAAGTTACGTCACATACCCGACCTTTGGGTTTGTGGTCTTTGTAATTATGTATTTTCAGTCTTATGCCTCAACAGTTTTATATCAAACCTTGACTTTCTTAACTTTTAAATGTATATTTTAAATTGACCATCATCATGTGTGTAATTCAGACCACAATTCAAACGGGATCAAAAAATTTGTTGTCTCTTGCCATTGACTACCGTACATATTTTCAAAGTAAGGTCCCATGGTGGTCCACCAGAAGGGGAGGGACTTAGGCTCTCCATTCAGATGTGCAGGAACCGCTAATGTAAAGCCAGTCGCTGTAAGCGAACACTGCAGCCAGTCAGAAAAGCCAAAAAAACACAGAAAAATACAATCATAGAACCAAAAAAAAGTGTTAATAGGTACCATATATGTCTGACAGGCGAAGATGAGCAGCTTACAGTAGGCAGACTAGCAAGTAAAGCTTTAGCTCACTTAACCTTTAAGTAATGTTAGCACCAGAGCTGCCAACTCTCAGGCATTGAGCGTGGGACGATTGACACTTTTCACAAGCTCTCACGCTACACATCAATGTACTCACGCAGTGAAAAACAAATAACTGATCATGTCGACTTGGGGGTGAGTAACTCCAGCTGATGTGACACTGGTGTCTTGTGCTGTGAGCCACAGTAAATAACTGAAAAAATTAGCAAAATAAACATCTAAAATCTGAGGCGCAAACTTGCTCTGTTTAGGACTATGAGCTGCGCTTTATCTGAGGTGCTGAAGTGAACATTTGTGTGGATTTGTGGTGAGATTTCTGCCCATTTCCCCAAACAAAGACACAAAGAGGAGGGAAGACTAAATCATACACGTGTGCTGAATCAGCAGGAATGATATTTTAATACACATTAATGCACATTTAATAAACCTTGTAAAAGTTGATCTACAGGAGCAACACAAAATGCCTGAGAGCTGCACTGCATTATTTTCCATAATTACACTTTGAATCATCACCTGCCACCTGAAATTTGTGTTTCCCTTTATATTAATTTATATATTATTATAATAATAATAACAACAACACCACCCACAAGTTCCTCTAGCAAGGAAACTGACCTACAGTAAACACTAGTCAGCAGCACAGCAAATCATGTCACATCAGGATTCAGATGCAAATTTAGTTACAATACAATAAGCTATGTGGTAAGCCACTGTTTATATCATTTCAACTGACACATACAGTATTTCAGTTCTGCACAAAATTTGGCCAATAATTTGATTTATTTAGCCCTCAAGATCGAAATTGATAGATGAAGTACATTTATTTGTTTACACATAATTTGAATTTCTTCAAAGTTTGATTTAAATTTTCTCTAATCACTCAATCATTGAAGGTCATTATTTTCTCCCCTTGTCTTGTATGAAATTAAAAGGAGGAACATAACTGTCACAGTCTAATTTCAAAGATTTAAAAAAAAAAAAAATGCTTGATTGATTTTTGCTTTATAATAATTTTGTGTAATTGAATATACAGTATATGTGACCATGGCCTGGATGAGTCTACAACACTGAATTTGTAAATGGTTGTTGGGGACTCCATCTGTGTCACTATAAGGCTAATGGCCAAGAGAGTACCATGCTGCCATATCCTTTCAAGCTATATAAAATCTAAATTAAAACAAGTTCCACTGTAATGTGGATGATGCGTTGGTAAAAAGTAGTGTTTACTTGTTTTGGGGGTTTAACTGTTGGAGACTGAACTGAAATCAAGCTGTATGGAACCTTGAACATAGAACTGAATTTATGGCCAAAAATAAAACATTTACTCAGAAGTTGTTGGTTTAACATGATTATACAAATACCTCAAAATTAACATGGTATGAGTTGACTTATTGATAGTTATATGCTACATTTAGCACATTTAGCAATCCACAGTGAGGCACAGAGTGTGAGTTTGTCAGTTAATCCATCACTCTGGGTGGCAAAGGAATAGAGCATCTTGTTCCTTTCACTTGGCTTCTGGATGTTAATAGGAGTAGGCTGACTGACAGACAGAGTGAGTGCGTCAGCAAGGCTCCAAACAACTCAAAGCTATTGTGATTCAAAAAGCCTTTAGAAAGGCAAAGGAATGCACAGCAGCCACCAAACCACAACCAAGACACGCATGTACCTGTATGTAAAAACAAACCCTCTTGCACAGATTGCTTCATATCTCCCTAAACACATGTTCAGCCATTTTTTCACTGCAGCACATTAACCGTAACAAAAAAGCTAACCTAACCTTTAAGCAACAATATGAAACTTTCCTCAACAAGATATTATGAAATCCTTTTTATTTATTTTTTTACAATACAGTATTACAGAATAGCTTTTCATTTTAGAGGAACATCTTCACCCCCTTAACTACCCTTCTCACTTCTTATGTTGTTAGTTCTTCATAAATATAGAAATACGCGCATGCGCACAGACACACACACACACACACACACACCCCTCTTATCCAGAGAAATCCTTTCATCAGCCTTTCAATGCTGGGTAATCAAGGTAAAAAGAACCATGTCAGTCTGCTATTGCCACAGGATTAAGTGTGCGTGTGTGCGCGTGTGTGTGCGCAGCCACCAGGTGCTAATCCGATACCTTGTGCTTCCCCACTGATGTAAAGTAATATTGAAAAAATATCAATCTCACCTCAGGCCGAATGTGTGAGACTGTTCATAGTGAAACAGGGAATTAATCTTCGCATCTGAATTCACAGCAATCAGCCTGTCAATCAAATCCTGTGGAGTGAAATGAGAGGCTATGAAAAAGAATACAATAGCAGTTGTGGTGCAAATATAATGTGTGGATTGTTGTGATGTTTAAGGTAAAAAAATGTACATGAGCTTCAGTGTATTGGGGGTTCAGGAGGAGGACTTTTGAGATAAAACAAATGCGTGGGTGGTGGTTAAAGGCAAAATAAAAAGTGCAAACATGCCCTCAAATGGCTGAAAGAGGCATTGCATGAAGTCTGGACTCCACAGTATGAACAACACTCACAGCAATGGAGGTGGGCATTTCTCTCAGGGTGTATTCACTCTTGTTGGCTAGAGGTTGTCGGCCCAGCAACTCCCACACTGACTGGGAAGAGGAGAGCAGGTTGACCAAGGACAGGAAGGACTGGACAGAAAGAAAGTGAGACAGACAAAAGACAATTAGAGGGTTAGATAAAGCAGTAAAAAGCAACAAAAACAGGTGCCCAGACTGAAATTAGAACTATACTCAAGTGTGCAATGGAAATTGTTTTGTGGGGGATTGAGCAAATAATTGAATTACAACAAACCATTGTCTTTGACAATGAGAAGTACTACTTTCTATGTTTTGGGGAACAGAGATCATCTCCTGATCTCCTGGCCTTGAATGAACATTCACAAATGAAGTTAAGGTATACACACACACACACACACACACACACACACACACACACACTATTCTAGAAAGACAGGAAGATAAAAGAAAAACGTGATAGCTGAACTTGCCAGTTGATGTCTGATGTTGATATCTAGAAATTCAGTGTATTTTGTCCATGTGAAAATAGAGTGATGCAAAAAAGATGTTTGGGAAGAGATGTGAGCACTTACACGACGAAACTACATCTGAACATGTGAACATAAGAAGAATAATAAACCACAAAAGTCCTCTCATCACTGGATCAAGGAGAACAGAAAAAAGTGTGCACATCAGATCCCATTTGCACTGGTCTGTGCATATTTAGTTTGTTTGTCTCACAGAGGTCAAGGCATAAAACATCACACACATTTTTATCTTTTTTCCAACACAAACTCAATTCTGGGGCTCTGCTGCCATGTGCTGGCTGGGAGGGACTTGAAGGTCTGACTGCATGCATGTAACCTGGCAGCTGACCCACTGATAAGGCAGGCTTTAAAGTCACCAGTGGCAGGGCACAGTTCACACCTCGCTGGCTGTCGGTATTCACTTGGCTAGTTTCACTGAGAGCGACAACTTTGCTCCTGTCAGAGGCCAACTTATACAGACAAACACTAGAGCTTCACATGAAAGTTGGAACCTGTCCTAGACTGAACCTGAAAATGAAGTTTCTGCCCAAATTTGTTCCAGATGTTTTTTAAAAATACAGCCATCTGCAAAGAGGATTCATTCTCAAGGTTTAAAACACATTTTCTACAGATCCACTGAGAGTTAACTATGGCTACAGTCCTGTTCGACTGGAAATGTAACCATGCGTGTCTCAGCTCAATCAATTCAGTTTGATCCTGTTTTGGAGCATACAGCTTGGTATGAAATCATAGTAAGTCAGTTTAATCTCTCACACTCACACACACACACCTTGAGGCAGCTCCTGTCTATGGGGTCCATGGGTGTAGGCTTGGGACGGACCACCTTGATATCTTCGCTGCCGCACTCAAGAACAGACCACAGCTCTATCACCAGTGCCCGGACAAATCCTGCAACAAAGCATCAAGCTGGTGGTTTCAATATGGATTTGTATAGAGTTGACACACAAACTTTAAGTTGTGATCTTAAAATTATAAGATTCTATGTGGCGGGACTGCAGTTGTTAAAGATTTAATACTTCATCATGCAAAAAACAATATCTGTTTATCTTTAAATATTTTAATACAGCAACATTAAAATATGTCAAAAATAAGAAAACCCTAATATTACGACAGGGTGTTTTTCTTGGCATTTAACTTTCGTTAACAGGAGACAGAAAGGAAATATGAAGAGAGATAAATGGGAATAATGGAACATTAAACAAAGCTCAGCAGCCAGATTCAAACAGTGGAAGCTGTGATTATATAGTCTTAACAATTCAACTACCCTGATGCCCCCAAAATTACAATTTGACTCTTCCAAATCTACAATTCAATTTTACACTTACACCCCAACAAATTGTATTGGTTGTATGCCTCCTTTGCATCTAGCATTAATATGTACCTGATATGTGGAATGTATTCAGATGATTTACCATGCTGCTTAAACGTAAATTCTGAAACAGACATTAAAATCTGATTACTTACTACCAAATCACATATCCTTACAAACACCTGACAGTTTACACATCATCTTGCTCTCTCTTCACCCATTTATCCCATCCCAAACAATTTTTCTGCTCAGTGCCTGATGTGGTCTAGACCAAAACAACCTGGAAGCCTTAAGCATCACAACTAGTAAGTTTTTGTTTGTGCAAGTAAGTGCTTTAGTACCTGATCTGTGCAAAGCCACCACCCCTGGAGCAGTTGCTGCCACCTGTGTCACCATCACACCGTATCCAAACTTCTCACAGCGGCTTACCTGCAGAAACACACAGCGAAAAATATAAAAATTTATCTCTTTAGTTTTTTCTAAATCAAAAATAAATGAGAGGTTGGGACTGACAGACAAACAAAGGATTCATGTAGACAAAAAGGACCTGAACTTGAAGCAAACCGAGCCTTTATTTTTGGAAAAAAATGGCAATTGTAATTTTGCCATTTGTGATTCATTATGCAAACTCTGCTATGACACTGCTAGAGTACTGAAAAGGCACTACATAATGTAGTTTAGTACACTAAGGAGAAATCAAATTGAAAATTGATTTTTGAGTGTGCAGTCCCTTCATTAATTACAACACAATGTCACAACTAAAAATAGACTAAATATAATTACATTCCATAATTAAAGTGAAATGCCAAATGAGAGAAGCAATTACAAGAGTGCGTAAACAATGGCAGTAAATTAAGCCCACAGGGGATTAGCTAAGGTTTGCATTAAGACTGAGAGCGTGTGGGGGGGTGTCTGTGTGTGTACAATATGAATCATGGACAATGCTATGTATGTAAGGCATATGTAGAGTCCAGAGATTGATAAGCATGTAACAACCTCCAGGCTACTTGTATACTGAATACTGAACAGTTTTCTAGAAATATGACTGTGGCCTTGAGTAGGAGCAGGAGCAACACATTACCACATCTTCTGCAGAATGAATTAGGGATACCGATGACACAGGCCAAAAGGATGAATAAAGGTTTTTAAGACACATTATGTTCTGCAGGATAAGCCATTATACAAAACAAATGCCTAGAAATATTTTATGCATCAACAGAAATTCTAAATATTTATGTTAACAAAAAAAATATTATACTGTATGGTCTATTGCTAAAGATGTGCTTCTGCAAGCCAAATGAAAACTTTACATTTTAATTCAATAAATAAATGTACTCACAACAACTTTATGTGCAATGAATAACTTTATTCCTAATCCTGCTGTGGCTGCAGTGCTGCATTACTGTAACTCAAGTCAATGCAGCACATAACGACTTAAACAGCATGCAAGTACTTTGGAACAAGAAAGATTGAAAAACTAGCCACTGCCAAAAGGTGATTCTTTCAGGATTTACATAATGATGAAACAGTACCATCTAACCATTTCAACATCGCCGCTTATCAGCACTAAAGTCCAGTGTTTTGTAAAAGTCACACTGGTCTGATTGTTCTGACTGGTTTGATTCATATGAAGGTGCTACAATAGCCTAATCTGACCAGTTTAAATTTTAACTTCAGTGCTTTTACTACCAAATAAATCTGGCAATGTCTGGAGTTACTGCTTAGTGGTAGTAGTTGTAGTATTTTACATGAGCTGTTCCAAAGTCAGCACTTGTTGGATTGCAGATTAGAAACTACATTGAAAAGGGGATGAGTAGTGATGTTCCCTCAGTACTACAGTTGAGGTGTCCTTGAGCACGTCATTTGATCCCCAAACAGCTCCACTGGGGCCTTTTAGTGACTAACTGCAGGTAGATTGGGCAGCTTCCATGTGTCACTGTGTGTGTGGAGCAGGGTGTTAATGTAAATGAGCCTTTGGTTCCATGAACAGTCTTCAAATAAAGGTTGGAAAAAAACTCCTAAATGTGTACTGGGTAGCAGCACACCTGGCAAACTGGGTATAAATATACATAAGTAGTAAATAAAAAGACAACATTTTGAACACTGTGATGTTTTATGATGGAAAAGGACAAATTGACAATATCTACAGTACTTGTGTTGCATTGTAAAGTACAGTTTTTGTTGTTACCTGTAGTTTTTTAGTAAAGCGAGAGAACATGTAGGAGACACTATCCTTCATGGCTCCTGTCTGCTGGAGCAGCAGCAGGCCTTTAGGAGTTGCAGCAAAGTTCAGCAAGCTGTCCAACAATGTCTCCTCCCAGATGAGCCTGTTCCAAAGCCAAAGAAAGAGACGGAGTAAGTCTGGACGTTACATGCTGTGTCGTTGTTCACTCTATATTATGGTATTGGTCATTATGTCATGGAATTGGATTTCTCCAGAATCACATACCCCACCCTTAAGTAATGCACTGGTTTGCAATCACTTAAAATATCTCAAACATGTAAACATGTGTGGGTGTGGGTGTGGGGGGCCTCACATGTTTTGCAGCTCCTGTGTGGATGTCCTAGCAGTGGCTCCAGGTACCGGGGTCGGAACCCTTTCTGACAAGGAACTGGTCTAGTAATAAAGGAAGAAAAGTATTTTATATTTTATCACTCCATGTGTACGAGTGTGTGGGCACTTCTGAAGGTTTTGACCAGAATTATTAACTGCCTTATTCACACCATGCTCCTAAAATAGTGAGACTAACAAGCAGCTTCCTATGTTTTCAGATCAAATTAACTTAAGCCTACAGACTGATATTAGAATATTTCTGAGTGAAGATTTAACATTTAGGAACCCAGTTGTATTTTGATTTCATAAATTGTTTATCCTTGCTGTTTTTTTCTGTGACTTGCTATACCGTTGGTCTACAATTAACCTTTTATGTTTTGTCTTAAGATTGTAATTCTTAATTTCTGAAATCAATCATTTGGATATATCAAATCTTGAAATATTATTCTAAATCTTAATGGAACAAACCTGTATTAATACATGTAATATTCACGAAAATATAGACATTTATAGTGTATGTTAGTGCTTGGTGTATCTTTAACAGACTAAATAAAAACTACTCTAGAAGACTGAATTCATATCCATTACTCTACATGGGTGTATATAAAACACTAAGAAAGTTTATCAACCTCAGCACCATCTGACAACATAATCAGGGTCAAACTGATTAAATGGTAACTGTTTTTTCCTCTGTGAACTAAGTAAAATAACGTGCTTCCTTAAAATACCTCCAAGGAACTATGGGGGCCATGTTGGTGCCTGTGTTTAGTGGGTGGACTGGGTTCAGTGCTGTAGCTACAGGAAATATATACACAAAAATAGATGAGGTGGTGGATTTGAGACATTGTATAGTACGTGCTGTCTAGTATATGACCGTTCAGTACGTGCAGGCTGATAATTAATATTTAACACACACACACACACACACACACACACACACACACACACACACACACACACACACACACACACACTGGGTAAAGAGTCAGAAGGGAGTGAGTGGGAAAAGGTTGTAGAGTGATGCCACAATGTCTCATACAAGTTAATTTTTGACATGGATGTTTTAGATAAAGAGGTGAGACGCGAGGTGGGATTCTATATTATTTCAGTACACATTATATTACTACAAGTATTCTCATTTGATGCTTTGTTATGACAAAAGCAGTATTCTATGTAATTATATATATATATATATATATATATATATATATATATATATATATATATATATAATATATATATATATATATATATATATATATATATATATATATATATATATATATATATATATATAATAAAATTCTGTGCAGGTACCTTTTTCCATGCAGCAGCTACAGCCTTGTGCAGGCCATAGGGTCGGAGGACCTGTAAACCCTCACAGGTGTTGTATATCTGTCTACAAACAAAGATAAAGGCTCCACATAATGTATGGGATGTGTTGGATTCACTTAGTGATGACAGGTCCTTATCCAGCAGCCTGAGGGTGAACTGCACAACGACATGAGCAGCAAAGGTTCTGCAGAGGAGAGGGGAAACAGACAAAGAGAAATATGCTCACAAGAGAGAAGAGACCTCTTTTCATGTGTGAAATACGATGGGTTTTGCTTAGAAAAATTACAAATGAGCAAAGTAAACAGTGTATCGAGGTGACTCAAAACAGTCCTGATCTCGATCTGTGACTTGTCTATGGTATATTGGGGGAGGCATGGTGTACTTTCCCTTATTTTCTAAATGTCAAATACATCCTAGAACTTTTTTTTATTGCTGTAAGCGACCCATTTGTATCGTTCCCTGATTTTCAATGTATCAAATTCACAGTCTTCCCCTGTCTAGACTAGATCTCCAACATCCTTGATTGACAAGACACATGGTGATTAAAGTCCCTGGTGGACTTTTATATGCTAATTTTTACAACCTATTTTTCAGAGGAGTTACATCTAAGAATAAGTGGCAGACTAGAGCACCTTAGTCATAACAAGTACTGAGTTTTGTCCTCAGTAGTGCCATCAGCCTTGGTGAATATATTATTGCTAATTCACAACAACAGACTGTTGTTTCAGGTTGGACAAACTGAACCTGGTTACAGAACGGTCAAGGTCAACCAATTAAAACAGAATACAAGACTAAGTTGGGGCCTCTGAGTGACCCTGAGTATCTTTAATAAAAGTAGTTTTTGCTGTAATGACACATGAGAAGATCAAAGATATAGTCGCAGTGACTGACAAACCAGCAACATCCTTTGGTCTAATCTGCTCTCTGTGCGGAATGAGGAGGATTTGCTAAATGTACATATGTATAACGTCTTCTTGCTATTCATTACCATGAAAGACATAAAACTACACTGTGTATTTAATCATAATTCAATCACACTGTCTCACCTCTCACTGTGGCCTACAACCAGATTCTTCTCGTATAAGAAGAGAGCTAATCCTCTGTCAGTGTTTGCGATCCGAGCCAGAACATCAGCGATGAGAGTCAGTGTTGCTTCAGGAGATTTTAATTTGGCCTGCAAACCGTAAAGAATAAACAGACAAAAATTACCCAGCTGATTCAGAAACAAGCAGAATCCCACGAAGGATGAACAAATATTGAACACTGAAATAAAATCATTAACTTTCACAATGATGGAAATGAGAAAAGCTATTATATTTTCATAAGCAATGCCTCCACAATTTTAAACAGTTTTTGAAAGGCTGACTGATGACAAGGATAAAACTTGGTTTGGGGTAATGGTTGAGGTTAGGATCAGTGTGTGGCTATAGACCTTGCATTTGTAGATATATACTAGGGAAATATATGTGGCAGATGTTGGTGGATAAAATTAGAGCTACTAGTTAGGGAATCCATCAAGTTAAAGGACGGTAGGGAGAGGGCTAAAGGCCGAGGCATTTATTATGATTCAAGCTGCCATATTCTAATATTTTGTGTTGTTGTAATAGTCCCTGATATAAACCACTAGAAAGCTCACAACTGGAATACCCAAACAGCATACAGTGGTATTGTGAAGGTATTCTTTTCTTTGTCGTTGTTATCTGTACTGTTAATAATGTTTGCTAATATTGGGAAAAAGTAAGAGGGTACAAGAGGTGGGTTGGAGCAGTGGATAAGAAACATGCCTTTGGTGTGAGAGACCAGGGTTCAATTCCCCAATGTGACACATCCACCAATGTGTCCCTGAGCAAGACACCCTAGTTACTCCAGAGGCGTGCGACCTCTGACATATATAACAGTTGTAAGTCGCTTTGGATAAAAGCGTCAGCTAAATGAATAAATGTAATGTATTACAAAGTAATTTAAAGTAAATTTAAGTAATTTAAAAACTTCAAACTTTCTATTTAACTATTTATGAATATCAATAGTGTTTGTGGTATGTGTCTGCAAACCAGATGGTCTATTCCACCCACAACTGTATTAAAACAAATGTGTGTGTACCATAGACTGTATTGTGTACATGCATGTGTGTGTTTTAGACCTGCTGTCCATTGAGCAGAGCTATAACAGGAGCCAGTAGTTTCTCTATTACAGGGGGCTGGTGGAGACACACTGCAGCACACTCTGTCCTCTCACACAGCATCCATAGCACCTCCATCGATAGACTGCTGGGCGACAGGGAGTCTGAACACACAAATGGTCAATTATAATGTTTTTCCAACTGAATTAATATGTGCTTTGTGTTTGGCCTGCGTCTATATGTATGCCAATTGATCCTATAATATTCATGTCGTTTAAAACTAAGACTAAAACACACAGCTAATGAATGCTTGTGGGGATTTCTTTTATACAGTAGGTTTTATAGATTGGCCACATATTACATTTGTCTCCATTTGTCACTTTGCTAATAATACCTATTTTTACTTAAGTAAATGATATGAGTAGATTTCCACCACTCTCACATCCATATTTTTAAAAACATTTTGGTTACATTCATCATCAGTGAATAGTGTGCAAAAACTACAGATTAACTCTGGGAACAACAATAAAGTTGTTTTAGAACATTAGGAAAGCTTCATTATTTTTGTGACATTATTCAATTTTAATTAAATATTATATCCTCCAGCCAAAATGAACTCTCTCATACACATACTTTTATTCTGCCTCTACCTCTGACATTGCAATCTGTGGCATCATGATGCTACTTAAAATATACACTCATGACTGGTGCAGATGATCTTAACCAGACTACAGGTAAAATAATAATATAAATCTATGACTTGCTCAAAATGACTCACTGCAGCAGCCAAATGACATTATTCTCTGACAAAGTCAAGGTAGGGGACACTATTGATCACTGGCAGGAAAGTTGCTGCAGTGTAATTCATGAGAATGAATGGTGCAATAAAGCAAGGTCTTCCATAGTCCTGCATGCCTCAGTACAAGGTTAAGAGATAAAAGATATGGTCTGAGCAATGCTATTATGCCTCATAGGGAGGGTCACTTTGTTCCTTCAGTCCTTGATTCGAGACTCACAATCTGGACAGAAACCAGGGAAGAAGTCCAAACTCATTGACAGAGTTAATATCCGTGTATTAGTGTGTGGGGCCCCACCTGTGTGTGAGGTGTCACAGTGCAGAGGTGTGGGGTGTTGGTACATGATGTTAATCAGGATGACAACCAGGTCTGTCAGGTAAACGGGATCTGAAACAGGACATGATAAATAATTAAATCAGTCTGGTTACTCAGTGTCTAGACTGGGACAGTGAAAGCAGTGGGTACTGCTGAGAAGGAAATGGACTGAGTTCATGACTGAAGTTTTGGTAACCTTAAAGACGAGGATGCTGTTTTAGTATCTGGTGTGTTTAAAAACTGCTTGATATCAGGATGAATGCACCAATCAGTTGTATTTTAACTGAATGTAACTAAAAAGCCCCGCGACCCTGTGTCTCTGATCAGCTTACTCATAGTACCACTCCCTCTAGTCCTCTTTTATATATATATATATATATATATATAATATATATATATATATATATATTATATATATATATATATATAATATATATATATATTATATATATATATATATATATATATAAGAGGACCAGAGGGAGTGGTACTATGAGTAAGCTGATCAGAGACACTCCTACATGAGATGAAATTATACTGATTTGAGAGTTTTGCTGTTAAATCACCAAGTTGTTTATAGTATAATACATGTTGTATACCAAACTTCATATTAAAGCTGGATCAATTAGTTAGTTAACCAATTCGTTAATTAACGCAAAATTATTTTTGATTATCAAAAATGTCAATGATTTGCAGATTTTTTACTTCATTATCAATGGAATGTTTGGTTTTAGATTATTGGTTACACAAAAAAAAAAAGATTAAAAAACTATATGAAAACATTTCTTCAGGGTCTGGGAAATTGCGATGAGCATTTTTCACTATTTTCGGACATTTTATACCAGAAATGATTAATCGAATTAGAAGAAATAATAATTAAAATAATACTTCATTGCAGCCCTAATCCATGAGCCCATACTACATCATGTAATGTAATTCTAACATGCATATTACGTAATACACGTTGCCAGGGACAGATTATTAATTGTCAATATTTGTGTATTCTTCTAGCAGCACAAGAAACATTTCCCATATTTTAAGGAAAACAGTGCTGAAATAAATCTAAGTTAAACTACTATCCACTAACCACTATAAGTGGACTTTCCATTCTCGTGGTGACATTACTGAAAACAAATGTCTGAACATATGTGAGAAGTGTCTGGAATCTGTGGCACAGGGCCTTAATGGTTAAATTAAAAATGTAAAAAATATGACAATGAATAACAATAAATCACATTTCAATTTCTTTTAGTTGGTGTGTCTCCTAGAGAGCACAGACTCTTTCAGTTACAGTAAAATGAAGTAAAAGTAAGGTAAGTAAAAATTTGATCAAAATCAAATTGTCACTATGGCAAAAATGGGATGAAAGAAATAATCTAAATAAAATAGAGAGAATTTTCTAAAAACGTGTGGACAGTATTTTGATCAAATAAATCATTAGTGTAATTGAAAATTGTTTAGGAATTGACACATGACAAACTGATCTTGGTGCCAACTTCAAGGTGCAACAGGTCTCCACCCAAAGCGTGGGCCTCATGATTAATTTATACCACTCTAATGTCAATGATTTGATTGCCTCCAGACTGACTTGGAAAAGTGATTAATAGTGAAATAAAACAGGGTTCAGAGAGGAGACCGCAGACGATGAGTCTGTTTTAATGGTCTTCCTACGTATCATTTATGCCGTTACATAACTTTTTCAGTGATTAAGACAGGGTGGAGGGAACAAAATCACTACATAGGAAGAAGGCGGGGAGTGGTACCATGGGTAAGCTGATCAGACACATTCCTACATGAGATTAAATGATGTTAAAAGATTGGAGAGATTGTTTTGTTGTAGAATCATTATGGGAGAATCAATGATCAGAACAGGGCAATAAACTACGGCGACTGTGGCTGCTGGTGGATCCTTGGCTCCTCCAGTCAAAATGTCCTTGGGCAAGATACTGAACCCCAAACTTGCATGTTAGACTGCCATCAGTGTGGGAATGGTAATACAGTCCATTTACCATGTGAAGCTGGAGAGATTGTTTTGTGAGAGGTGAGAGATCTGCACAGGGCAATAAACTACAAACAAGCCTAATTTAACTTAAGTCCAAATCAGTCATTTAAACCATTAGTGAATTCCTTTGAGTCCTGCAAATACCAGCAATGGACAATATACAGTATTCACCTGTTTACAGTGTTTGCACATTAAGGAATAGTTTGACATTTTGAGAATTATGCTTAATCACTTTCTGCTGTAGTTAGATAAGGAGATTGATACCACGCAACCTAGTCAGTTATCTTAGCTCAGCACAAAGACTGAAAACAAGGGGAAATAGTTAGCCTGGCTCTGTCCAAAGGTAACAAAATTTGCCACCTTAATTAACATTTAATCTATACAAAGATTGTTTTTTTGTTTTTTTTACAGGGAGCTATGTGCTGGACTATTTCTTGGCCAGGACCATTTACAAGGCACATAACCCTCTGTAAAACAGAGTTTTTACAATTAGAATATTGTATTATTCAATAGTGGGATCTTGTAACCTTTGGACAGAGACAGACTAGCTGTCTCCCTGTTTCCAGTCTTTGTGCCAAGCTAAAAAAAAAAACACTACTTCACGTAGACAAAGATGAGAGTCAGACTATTCATTTGACTACAGTCAAACCTTTTACGGCTTTATAGTGAAACAAGTATGTAAGAAATAAAATATACAGACATATTTTGACATATGTTTAAAACTGTTTACAGAACAGTCTAGTATTGTACCTTTGCGTTTCCTCACTTTGATAGGAAAGAGCTTTCTCCCATTGGTGTAGATGAGGAGTTTCCCCAGGACACACAGCGAATGCACAAAGAAAGCATATTCAAGCTCTTTTCCTGTATAGACACTCCTTTGGGCTGAACCTGAAACATTAATAGAAGATACAAATTTTAAGCTTGAACTGTGTAGACGTTTGCTGTAATCACATTTCCGGTTTCCACAAGGTATAAATACTGCTAAGAAAAATAAAGCTAAGGTAAAATAAATGTATTTTTCTAACCAATGGTTAACTCATCGTATAAAACTTCAAGTGTTACAAAACTAAAATCAAAGGGGTTAATTTTGTAGAATCAGTTTGCATGGCCAAAAGACCATCCACAAGAAAAAGCTAAAAGATCAATGAGTATTTGTAAAGCTTTTTTGCCTCATGAAGGGCTAGTACTGAAATGTTTCAAGCTCATAATAAGTTCCACAATGTGCGGGAGTTTTTTGCAACTATTTGTAAAAATAGCAAATTTTTAAAAATGTACTTTGCAATATTCTATTATGCTAAATGCAATTCATAAAATCAAGATGAATGCTCTTTTTGCGAGGATGTGGTGGAGAGACACTTTAAAGCATCATATCTAAAAGCTTCTGTAATAGAATGGAGATTGACAAATGAAAAAAAAGGTCTGAGGCAACCTTGCAGTGCCTCTTGGGTACAGAAAATCAAAAAGAAGCACAGCTCAGAAAAACTCTTCTTCTTTTATGAGGAGTGTATCAGTGACAGGGAGCCGGCGTATCTCCACTCATCCAAGGCAAGGTCAAAATGTTCAGTCTCGAGGAGCCAGCTGGCTTACAGGTGATAACACACTGACAAAAACATTCCCTTACGCCCAATCCCCCACTGTATTTACTCTCATTTATTGATATTTTACACTTAAATGTGCAACTGGATGTGCAGCATTTTACCATCTAATCTAAATCTGTCTATCTATCTATCCACACACGTTCATTTTGCAAGTTGAGATTAAATGCTGTAAACAAACAAAATGTTGAAACAGTAGAGGGGTTGAGAAATGTGGCCTTAATTTTGAGAAATACAAACAAAAAGTGGCAGCATATGACACTGAGGAACAGATAAAAACAATAACAAGGGAGATGGAAGGTGTTAGACTAAATTCAATGATGAGATGGAGATTTACGTTGTTATCCTTAATATTTTAGATCAGTAGAAACTGAAATGTTCAATGTGTAATATTTTGGAGAATCTATTGACAGAAATGAAATATATATACATAACTATGTTTTCAGTGGTGTATAAAGACCCCGCCTAATGAACCATATGTTTTTATTAACTTAGAATGAGCCATTTCTATCTACATACACCGCGGGTCCTCTTACATGGAAGTCGCCATGTTTCTACAGTAGCCCAAACGGCCAAATTGCTCTACAGTGTGTGTTTTGTCACTACGTTGAATATGTATGATGAAGACGAAGAAATCGTCTGGTTTATCAGAAGTAAGAAGCAAAGTGAAATTTGGACAAACACAGGACCACACGTATTATTTAGCACAAGAGCCAACAGAGCATGTCAGCCGCTGTAGCTTCTCCTCAGCGATTGGAAAGGGAGGGGGTAGCGGTTGCAGTTGGTTGCAATTCGCAACCCTCACCCCTAGATGCCACTAAAACGTACACACTGAACCTTTAAATAAGTCTTGCGCATGCCTGCCATATTATCCCCTAAATTATATTTGTCTATTTTTTTGGTAATAGTGGCTTTTAGCTTCAGCTTAATCATTAATTTACTCACATCTTTCACTGCTTATTCATTTTTCAACCTTCTATCATACTTTTCTCTCCATTCCTTTCAACAGTTTTTCTGCATACTTTATCTTTTGTTTCTCTTTCTTTCTACTGTTTTTCTCTGCACTCGTCTGTTTTAATGACAGCAGGAACAGCGTGTGAGCATTTAGGAAACTGAATAAATGATGACTGCCAAGTCTAGGTGCAAATGCATTTAACACCCACAGGCTTCAAATGGAGCATTACTTTCTCATTAGGCTTTCACAGAACTTCAGTCTGAGTGTATTATTTTTTGGTTTGTTTCACAGCACACATTAAATCATCATTACTGCACACGTGCTGATGTTTACCACACGGAGTGAGACTCAGGGTGAAGATTGGTATTCAGATATGCCTGAGAGAGTACATAAACCTGTTTAAGAAATCATGAGTTTGGACCATTTTACTTACCAGTGGTCTGCGGCTCCGCTGACTGGGGATCAGTAGTCTCATTTGCAAAACGTTCACATGATTCACTGTAATGTATACACTGCTGAAGGGCTGCTACAATCTGACAAAATTAAAAGATTAAAACAATGCATGCTATTATGGTTGCTGCAAACACGTGATTGGCTGGAAGTAATGACAACTGCTAATCTCCTGTTCCAAATTTGGATGCTGCTATGAACAAGCCAAAAACAGGTTTACTTTAGAGTTTGTTGAGAATGTCAAACTCTCTTATCGAACCTCTTATTCAAGAGTTTTAAGACTAGAACCATTCGTTTGAATCTAAATCCAAGCACCTCAGGGAATTTCAATTCAATGCAATGCAAGAGTAGTTTAGGGATAGAGTGTTTTGAAAGAGTTATTGACATTTACGTCAGAGAAAGTTTCAAGGGGTCAGTTCACAGTAATCCTCTCTAAAGTCAGAGTAAGAGTTGAGAGGGAGGTTTAGGATTAAACAATCAATTTTTAAATGTCAAAGTGACGCTCAACACTTGTGCCCCTCTCAAAGACTCCTACATTGTCTTGCACTGTTTGGCTTTGTGAATTACACATATCCCAAAAATACACAGGCACAAATAAGAATTTCACTGTAGGCGTCAGTCAAAGGCCCATGGATGAAATCAGAAAAATGCAGAAAGTAAAAACATAGATAGATCCGCAACAGCCCCAAAGAGGAACTGAATTTGTCCTTTTGCAGTTCTACAGGTCAGCAAGCATAACAGAGTTTGTTTTAGATTCCTAACATTCCCTTCCTAAGTTTCTTCATTCTTGAATGCACTCAACAGCGCAGTGGTTTTGGGTGCCTAAATGACATTGTGGGTGTGAAAGCTTGTTTGGTTGGTTGTTTCTCTATGGTACCAGACTTCTCATTACAAAGGAGTTAGTGAGTTTAGGGATATTAAATGTTGAGTGAATCACTCACCAGAGACTTGTATTTTCTCTCCAAGAGTCTCAGAACCACAGTCCTACTGTAGTATCCATGCTGAAAGGCAGAGTTAGACAGATCAGGATAGAATAGAATATATATAAAAGAATGAGATAAAGACACTATTAAACAACACACGAACAGGATAGTGTATACAAAAATGCACTCTGCACAACTACGAAAACACCTGTTAATTTGCAATACACACCATCCACTTTTTAAACCAGGTAGCTTTAATATCCAGTAAGGCCAGTAGGTGAATGGATTCCAGAGCTTTCTCTGTCCCTGGTGAGGCTGATCCATGTTCATGATGGAAGGACAACAGGGAGAACGTGCTCTCAATAACTTCCTCCATGTATCTTAAGGGTAGAAAGAAGACAAAAACAAATGTACTGAAAGTAAACCATTATTCTATAGACAAGAAAAGTAAAGTACATTTGCACTGGGTTGAAGCAGTTAGGAAACCATTACAGTATACTGTACATTTAAGTAAATACTGACATTTAGCATTATTATTTTGCATCACATATAGTCATAATTCTCAGTGGCATCTGAGATAGTGAGCGTTGGATGTGGGGACCTGCCAGCCCTGACTTCATATTTCGGCTAAAACTTACTTCTCAGGATGACGAATCCAAAAGGTTGTCACCTCCTTTTGAAAGTCATTCATCAATCGAATCTGAGGTAAGACAGAGAGAGAGAAAGCTTTAATGTTTCTGCATGATGATATACTTCAAATACTGTAATATAAAAGGTAAAGATACTGTACCTGTTTGAGAAGACGACTGATTTCAGGTCTGTTTATGTCGATGGTAGCTGAGCTACTTGGAAAGCTTAGCTTGTGAGACAGAAAGCTTGACTCCACACTTTTAGCTGCGCAGCAAAAGACAAAATACACTTATTACAGATAATGCACTACATGCATGATTCTCTCTCTCTCTCTCTCTCTCTCTGATAATTTTAAATTGAACAAATCACAATGTCATTAACATTATAAATAAATACATCTGCCCCATTGAAAACTGTCCACATTGAGGCATGTGAATTATTTATTTACTATAAATACACTGCTCAAATAAAATAAGGGAACACTTAATCATCATAGTATAACATCAAGTCAATTAAACTTCAGGGATATCAACCTGTCCAGTAAGGAAGCATAAGCGATTACAAATCATTGTGACCTGTTTTTGGTGCAAATGAAAGTGACAATACGTGCACTGGAGAGGCAACCGCAAGCACGGAAATGGTTTTGCAGGTGATGGGCACAGACAATTGCTCACACAAGTTAGATTTGCCTGTTATTTCAGTTTCTTTACTTTGATTTTCTGTGTGATTTTGAATCCAGTCCTCAATTGGTTGGTGATTTGGTTTCCACTGACCGCTGTTATATTGGTCTCAACTATTAATACAATTTACAGTAAAGATTTGAACCATCTCGTTCATTGAGATCTGATGTGTGATTTAAGTGTTCTCTTCATTTTTTTGAGCAGTACAATTCCAGTGAGGTCTGTGGATTCACCGTATTCACTGTATTGCAGGGGAAGAGACCATAATACTAGCAAATAGCAGCAGGAGAAATGTCATATTATTTGAGTTTGAAGGCTCATCTAAAGAGGTGGGTTTTGATAAATGATTTGAAAGTGTCAAGGTCGCTACATTCACGGATATGTATAGGTAAGAAATTCCGGATAACGTTAGTGGGGAAAACATTTTTTTCTTCAAATGGAATGATAAATTAAGAAGATTGAACCCTTTAAAATGTAATTTTCCTCTTGATAAAAATACATTTCCATTGTTCAGTTCAAACATGAAAGTGCTGCACATGGACTCAAACCAGTCAGAATGTCCTACCCAAGCTGGTGTAGATCTCTCGTGTCACATTCAGTGGAGAGGAGGAGAAGCTTTTAGCAAAGAACTGCAGTACGTTATCCTAATGGAGTTGAGGGGATAAGGCATAAGTTATCAGCACATTCTCACACGTACATACATAATCAATCAATGACACCTAAATCTTAAATTATAAGAAGATATAATGGAAATTAAACAAGATTATCACAAAAAAAAGATCTGCAGCCTGTACTGAGAAAGTGGCCTGCATATTTGCTCCCAATTAGCTCTCATTCATTGGTGTTATCTTGTCTTCTCCTCAAAAGAAGAATGTGTGGCAGGACTGCCTGTACGATAATGCGTTTGTTATAATCAATTATAAAGCCTGAAATTATTCCCCCCCCCCAAAAAAAATTTAAAATCACATAATTATTATTGATTAATTTGTGAATTAATTAAGGGTGAATTTGTAGAGCTGAGCTAAGTAGATGAGGCTTCTCAGGACTCACGGTGAGGTCAGGATCGTTCAGAGCAGCACAGAGGTTCCTGCGTAGGCCGCTCCAGCTCTCACAGTTCAACACATCAGACGGAGGGGCACAGCAGAGGGCCTGAAGAGCCTCCCAACGCACCTACATACATACAGAGTTACATCACTTCTCCTGGACTAGACTGTTCATCGGGTTCAATCCCCTACTGTGACCCATCAACCATTGTGTCCCTGAGCAAGACACTTAACCCCTAGTCGCTCCAGAGGCGTGCGACCTCTGACACGTATAGCAATTGTAAGTTGCTTTGGATAAAAGCGTCAGCTAAATGAATAAATGTAACATTTATGGCAGTGATTCCCACATTGTGTGATTTGTAGCTCCTTTAAGCAAATGTTTAAGCCTCATTTATTCATCTCTAGTTGCACATGTGTACTTAACCTGGTACAAAATGGCAAAAACCATGGACAAAATTGACAAAGCTGCACAGGTAAGTTGAAATAACAACTCTTAAATAAACATATTTGTTGGATCTCTGTGATATTTTCTATTAAGCCAATGTCTACTGGTAATAACTTGTTTAAACAAAGTAATTTTTTTCCAGGCCTGAAGAGGTAAATAATCTTGAAATTCTGTGGAAAATGATTTTATGTGACATTGCTTTTGGTTCCTATCCTGTTGATCATCTGACAACCCCCTCAGATGTTGGTAGGGTGGAAACCACTGATCTGTGGCACAGTGCTACACATGACTCTCCAGCATACTGACTATGCAACAGCAATGTACACATCATAATGTCTATGTGTAAAGAAGCCTTTCTACCTCTTTGGGTCTGCTGGAGTCAAGTTTTTCAGCCAAAGCTTGCAGCTGCTCTTGTCTGATGAATGCATAACTCTGGAAAAGGAAATGAAACAAAAATTCTGATTCATCATAAAGCTCTCATTGTCTGATGGTACCACATCTACTGGCGTTGCCCTACATTCAGTCTACCATTGATAGGAACAAACTTCTCCACAGCAACACAACAGCAATTGTGACCAATGTCATTCAGAGATTGGAGCTAAAATACAATCTTGGCACTTTATGAGTCACCTATAATCTAAAAAAAGACAATAAAGTAATTGTAACCATGTATTGCCATCAGAGTGTAACTACTGTATCTCTGACCTGGTTGAAGGAGGAGTCACTGTCCGAGCAGTTGTCAATGTACTGGCTGTTGGACTGACTGTGCTGCTTCTTTCTGTGCATCTCCTCTTTTCTCATCTGGTCCTCCTCAAATTTATTGATTGAAGACTCCACCACCATGATCATGGTGTTTTTCAATGTCTGCATCATCTGCTGGTACCTGTCACAGACAGAAGTACATTAGTGTATTATTATTATTAACTTGTTTTAGAATAATTTAGCTAAACCCTTTCCATAATAGCTTACGTATTTCTATCTGCTCTGTGACTATGTGTATGATTCAGCCGTAATCAAACTGCTTGGTTGTTACTGCAAAGACAATCCTACTTAAATAAAGCATGAAACTCCACACTAACTGCCTATAATTTTAAGTTGGGAAGAAAACAGGCAAGAAACATTGTAACTGCCAACAAGATTGTCTTTCCCAAAATCAACAACTGTCCATAAGCTACAGTTAACGTTATATCAGTGACATCTGACTACATTAGCTAGCTTCTTATCTAAGAATAAGAAGCTACACAAACAATATTAAGCTATTTCACACACACTGTATTCAGTGTGTGTGAAAATAATCCCAGAAAACTTGGGAGACAGAAATACTACAGTTTTATACTCTATCAACAGTGGCTCTGTGACATTTGTCTTGACAAGAAAGTGTGAATCTTCACCTTTCTGACATCTCTAAAAAGTAGGAAACAGGTATAGAATACAATCAAACTTCAACAACTGAAACTAAATGGACAATAAATGTAAATGACACTTATGGACAGTATATTACATAAATAGACCCTGGAGGATGTCAGAGGTTTGCACAGTTCACACAGAATGTAATGATTAACTGTGAAATTACTCCACAGGAGGTTATATGAAGAAAACTAAACAAACAAAAACAGATAATTGTTTGAGCTACACTCACTCAGCCGAGTCTCTGGTCCTTCGGGTGACAGCGTGGATCAAGGTGTCGTGACCTGGGCTTATTGCATGCTGTGCATCTCCTCTGGTCAAGTTCTTTGTCTCTTCTTCCACTACAGTCCCCAATGAACTCTCCACGTACTGACGGAGGTACTTGACAAATTCATAACTGGAAAGAGAGCATTGACAGACTAAAACCTATTGTATAGTATATCTGTTGTATACCTGCCACTTAACAATCAATAAGAGGCCGATAAAAAGTAGTAATGTTATCGTATTGCCTTTTCTAAAATGTGCAAAAAACCCTAAGGTTTAGCCTGAATAGCTGCATATTGCATAGCAGCTATTATAGCAAACAGTCTATTGGTTTAATATGATACTGTGGCTGATATTATCCTACCTACTACAAAATGGTAGCACTAGTACACCACTCCATTTCAGTGGTTGACAAGAACAAATTGAAAACAACATATTTCAAAAGGTGAGCCAATCAGGAATAACTTAATCTGTGATGTCAAGTTAATCTTAGTTATCTTAAGTTTAATTTAAAAAATGCTTGATTTAACAATTTTGAACAGTGCCTTCACAAATGACTATAGTACAAATGCTTACAGAAATACATGTTTGTTTATTCCAAGTATATGAGGCCTATTGCCACAATATTTAAGACTTACTTGTGGAAGTTCTTGTCAGTCTCCTCCAGGTGAAGAAGGATCTCTTCAGCACATTCGGTCGATGGAGCACCAGAGATTCTGTCGTTAATGCTTCTCAAAAGCTGCTTGAGCAGCGACTGCAACTCCACCTCATCTTCAGCTGACAGCTGAGACATCTCTACAGCGGGTCCTTAAGACAGGACAGAACAGAGTGGTTGGTTTTCCAGGGTTTAAAATGTGTATGTGTATGGTGGTGAGGGGCCAATTCCCCGTGTAGTGCCACTGAGAGTTTGACAGACAGCTTTAGTTCAGAAGGGAGGAATTTTTTTCCTTTACATCCATAAATAAACACAAAAACAACTAAATAAACTAACAAAATACTGTGCATTTCAAAATTTTGATTGCTTCCCCCTACAAATAGATTGAAGTAAAAAAAAAAAACATCACCCCCAACCAACGATAAAAAGATTGCTGGGGTGCACGTGCATAACCATAGTGTTAAGTCCAGCAAATACAATAAAAAAATAAAATTTACACACCAAAATCTATCAGGACGCTCTATTAGTTTGGTATCAGTTTCTGTGTTCAGCACATGGGTCAAAAATGCACGTTTTGGCTATGCCCTTTTCAGCATTGGTCATTCAATTATCAATCAGTTAAGTGTGATAATTGGCTACCCCCCTGGTAAAATATGTCTTTCATAGTGAAAATAAGGTCCACACAGCAGTTTCCACTCAAATATAGAAATAAAGATCTAACCGCAACAATTAACTATGTGCTGTTCACCCAAAATGACTAACGTTATGTGATATTTACGTTTTTACTTTGAAGTCAGAACCTGTTAAGTTAATTGCTCTCCTCTGGTTAGCTTTGCTGCTAAGTACAAGGTGCTAGCTGAAGGCAAAACTGCCCAATTTTAACTGACACCGCAGCTGAGCTAAAAACCTAAAGCCACCCCGCTGCACAAACCAAACAGAACGACGTCGTTTGCAGCACATTTCAAACCTGTCACCTTGTTTTGGGACTTAAAAAAGCTTTTTCATCCAGTTAACGTTAGCATTTTGAGGAGCACTTGCCACCGATTGCTGCGTCTCTATGGAAACGTGCACTTAGCGTAAAGTACGGTGCATTATGGGACTACACGCTGCTGCCTTCAGGAAGAGTCGGAAATATGGTATTCACGAGATACATGATGAGAGGAACAAAAGATTAAACATGACAAAGGAAGTCGAGATGTGAGTGATTTATCAAACGTATCAAAAAATTCCTTAATGACTAGTGTGAAAACTTCTATAAAGTATTACTCGCGAGGTTTAAAACTCTTACGGTTTTTCTTATGTGGTATTGAATGCAGCACCCGTGAAGTATGTTGTCACATGACTCAATGTTTTGCTCCTGTTACCGGATGCTGGACCAGGAGACATCTCTCCCTGCTAAGAACGTCTGAAAGCCTGAAATTGATCGTAAATTTACTATGTAGGAGTAGCGACAGGTTTTATTCACACGCTTGACTTACTAGTCAACGTTACGTTTTGAAATCACTACGTTAAATCTTCGGAATACGCTTTAGCTACTAAGCTAGCGTCAGCATCAACAGTGGTGACAATGGCGGCAGTTGACAGCTTTCAGTTTTTGTACAGAGAAATTTCTCGGTCGTGCAGTGTTTATTTTGAAACCCTGGCCCTGGTCGGTGCTCTTTACACGGCCAGCAGAGCAGTAATCCTGCTGAGAGACTGCTGCACGTTGATCAGGGTGCATTTCCTGCCAAGAATGATCCCAAGTAAGAAGCTGACCCAAAGATTTGGTGACTGGGCTGTTATTTATGGTAAGGATTTAGCAGGTGATCACAGCAGAAACAATGAGAGCGCATCATATCTGTGTGACAAGAGGGGGAGAGGAGAGTATGCATTTATTTTAGTTAACTTTACTTCTTTCAGTGAGATTTGGGCATCACACTAACTTAATTACAAAACCAGGGCCTCTGTCATCTTTAGAGCTTAAACAATCAATCAATCAATCAATCAACAGATCAACCGAAAAAGAATAGGCAGAAATTTTGATAATTGACTAAAAGTTATTAATCAAGCACAAAAATGGCAAACATTCTCTGCTGGTTTCAGCTTCTCAAATTTGACAACTTTATTATTATGATATTTGGGTATTCAAATGTTGGTCATACAAAACAAGAAATCTGAACATGTCTTCTTGGGCTGTGAGAAATTGCAAGGAGATTTTTGTACTACACTTAAAGTACTGAAAAATGTCCAGGATGATATTTTCATATTGCTTCAACCAACAGCCCAAAAGACATTCATTATACAATTATATAAAACAGAGAAAGCGTATTTTCTTTATATCTGAAAATCTGATTTGTTGAATGAACTGATCAAAATTGTTGATATTTAATTTCTCAGTAATGAACTAATTATTAGCTTTTTATTCAGTCATAAATTAAACTTTATTTGAGGTTTTAACGCCATAGTGATGCTACTGTGCACTTCCTGGTATAACTTTCATTGATAAATCTTGTTCTCTCTCCTGTCAGGTGCATCAGAGCCTGTGGCCCAAGCCTATGCGGAGGAGTTGGCCAGGCACGGTATCAGTATTATTTTTGTCACTCAGGACCACACCTCTGTTAGAGACATCGCTGCGTCCCTCTCCCAGAGCTACGGAGTGGAAACTGTTGTTGTCCTAGCTGACTTCTCTCTGGACCAGGCAGCCAGTAAGCCCATCAAAGAAGCCATGAGGGGTAAAGATATTGGCTTCCTGGTGAACTGTGTGGGAGTGTCTTTGGCTTACCCTCAGAGCCTGATTGAAATGCCTGAGCAGGGCCTGTTGGATTTGGTGAACAAGAACGTTGCCGTCGCTACTCTGATGACCCGGTTGGTGCTGCCAGGGATGGTGGAGCGTAGCAGAGGAGCTGTGATCAATATATCATTGGGTGCTTGCTGCAGACCCATGCCTGGAAGAGTGACACTCACCGCCTTCACTGTGAGACAAAACACACGGGATATCTGCCTCTTGTGGATGCACATACACAAAGATACACATCTGTGCCCTCTACAGCAGATATTTTGATTCATATGAAAAGCCCCTTTGTAAATAAATATTCCAAATAATGTCTATTAATGCTATTGCTAGAATCTCCGAGCAGAGTAAACCACTTTTTAAAAGTAAAATCCAACTCACGTTTGAGGGTAAATGTGTGGGGCTAACACAAGCAAATCAAACTGCCTCCCTCGCAGGCTGTCATTCAAAACATAATCATATAAACATGTTTTTCTTTCCTGACAATAATCCTCTTTCCCTTTTTTCTCCTGACATTTTAGGGCTACCTGGATAATTTCTCAAGAGCTCTTCACCTTGAGTACAGCAGCAAAGGGATCTTTGTCCAAAGTCTGATTCCTTTTCAGGTAGATTTCCTGATATGACTGTTAAACGAGTAGGGCTGGATACTGGATCCAAATACATTTTGTCTGCCAACTAAAATGTGTCAATCACTAAAAGCTGGCTTCAAAGCTCAGTCATTTCAATTTTGTTTATATAAAGTTCTTTTTGTTAAATGAAACTAAGGGTTTTGCAGAAAAAGATGTTTATATTTCTCAAATGATTGGTTTTGGTGTCATTGCTGATACTCAGGTATTGCATCAGCACTACTTTCCAACCCTATACCCAATACTAATACCCCGCCCTACAGTAATAAGATACTACACACAGCTGCCAGTTTATTAGGTATACTTAGCTAACACCCTGTATCAGAATGGGTTTTCAACACTATACCTAACCCTAACAAGCATACAACAGCAATACACTGTAACAGTGTTATGTTACTACATTCAGCTGCCAGCTTATTAGTTACACCTAGCATAAACTTATGATGTCTAATACAACAAACAGAATTAAAGTTGTACCGTCATGAAGATTATAATGTTCAGTTTGTTGTTGAAATTGTCTTAGAGTGGTGTTGATTTAACTCTTTGGTCATTTTGGAGGATGTAGTCCGTGGTGCTGACGACCTGTATTACATTATACAGAGAGGTGTTTCAATTATATCCACGTCCATTTGTCCCCTCCATTCATATCAGTGAAGTGGGCTAAATAAGTAGCTAAATATGTAGGGGTGGTGATGTAGTAGCGGATAAGGCCCATGCCTTTGGTGTGAGAGACCCGGGTTTGAATCCACTGTGAGACACCAATGTGTCCCTGAGTAAGACACTTAACCCCTAGTTGCTCCAGAGGCATGCGACCTCTGACGTATATAGCAATTAAGTCTTTGGATAAAAGCTAAATGAATAAATGTATAATACTGAATGAATTAAACAACACTCATTTCAAAGAAAACTTCATGAAGGATTTATTTTAAGCTAGGTGTACCTAATAAACTGGCAATAACTGACATAAACTGGAGTGCATTTACCTAATTGTTTAGACTTAACTGTTTACACTTCCAGCCTCTATGTCCTTTTATGTTTTATTGTTTTGTAAAGCTCATAATGTGAAATGTGCGTATTATTGTTAATAGTTAATATGTAAAATCACTTTAAACCCTGAGTATAAATAGCTGCATGTGTGTCAGTGCTTGATATACAGTATGTGTGTATGTTTAACCAGATAGCCTCAAGTGGACGACAGCCATCATCAAGAGATGGCTGGTTTGTACCGAGGCCAGAGGTTTATTCTCGCCACGCCATCTCCACCCTCGGCATCTCTAATAGGACCACCGGCTACTGGCCCCATACACTGCAGGTCGGCACAAAATGGGTCATGATGTCCGTTTGTAATTGGTATACTCTCAGAAAGTTTGTGACAAGATTACATGTTTGTCAAGACTATATTTCTGATACATCTCATGCCTTTGTGAAAACAGGATCTAAAACGTAAAAAATACATTTCTGTATGATGATCTTTTTTCTCTCTGTTGTTTTTCTTCGCAGTATGGACTCATGAGATGTATTCCAGAGTGGATGTGGGTTTTCGGATCACGTGTGCTCATCAGTTCAAGTTAGGAGCTCACTTCTCCTCCCTTCACTTAAGACTTAACCCACTTACTAGATCTTCTTGTTACTGAAGTGAATGTAGAGTTTTGATTTCCTCAGCCATTATTAGTTTAAATTTCTTAAACTCTGAGGATCTGTTGAGGTTTTGTGGTTAAGAGATTTTCCTCTATTGATTTTGTATCAGTTTCTAGGGAAGTTGCAGTTAGATCCTAACTTAACTAAAGAAACCAGACTACATGATGATACATGTCTTAATGGTGAATAGACATGAGGTTGGAAACTGGGTTTGACTTTGAGTTTAGATTGTAAACTTACTTATGATTATTGGAGCAATAACAAGCTGACATCATTTGGTTTGGTGCTTGGCCATTTTAACCCTTTAAACTACTATGAGGTAAGGTAATAATTTCAAATCGGCGGGCAGGTGAGACGTTATATAAGAAGAAAGTAATAATAAAGCAATCTACTACCATAAAATAAACAAAATCATAATAGATAGAAGAAATAACACATTCAATAACAGACACATCCGATTTTGGGTAATATATTCTGACATTAAGTGGCATAGACCTCTTTCTGCGTTAACCTTTATCCTGTAATCTAATTCTATCCTAAAGGTCTTTGGGGTGTGTATGCTGTGATAGTCACTGTGGGGTTTTTTTTTAAAAGGACTTGTGTGCTGACGTTTGACTTTCCAGTTCTTTCTGGTTATACCTGCTTTGTACCAGCGCTGACCACACCCATGCCAAACACATACAAAGAACAAATGGTAGTCACCCCAAAAACCAAACCCAACATCATTCAAAATGAAAGAGGCAGACTGATATCATAATCTAGATTAAGTCCTCAAAATTTAATATTATGCAACAGTAATTTAAGTTTAAATAAAGATCTAAGAAACATGATAATTGAAGGTGAAACAGCCATTTTTAGCTCCAATTCTAAATTGTGACCAAAGCAAATGTAAATCTAAATATATTCTTGTAATGTGAATATGCCTTTTAGCTTATTTGGCTTCTTGGTCTGATCAAAGACCAGAGTGTTGAAAGCAAATAAGTGCGTGGGGGTGAATGGGGAACGATAGCTTTAGGTGGAGGTGGTGTCTTGAATATGAAATGCACTGAAGAGTGAGACTGTAAGATTGTGTAAGAAACTATATTTGAGCTAAGTTTAGTATAAGTGGATATTGCTCTAAAATAAGTATTTATATTGTGAGTAATTTGAACATATTCAGGTATATTGTGTTGAGTGATTACTTACACACACAGTATAGAATTTACAAATGTTGACTTATATGTGTCATCATAGCACAAATACAATAAAGATTTCTCCATTCTCATACTGTCAGGGTTTTTTTTATTTTAATGAATGGAAGGTGGCCATATTTATCTTATTATAAATGCTGGAATAAATAAAAGCGTCTGTCTTCAAAGAATCGTTTTCTGTCTGATTGGTAGGTGTTTGGTTTCCAGCGTAAATGAAATGTTGACTGATCTATAGGCTGAAGGCCAGAAGCGCTTTGTTTTTCTTGTAAAACATCAGGATGGCATAAATCATTTACGTCCGTGAACAGACACCGTGCCGGCTGCCAGAGTTTACCCTGTGACCCCCCCTCAGATCAGCCCGGTCAGTAAACCTGATGAACGCACGTGAGGGGCAGTCTGCCGAAAATGCTGCAGAGCAAACCTGGGCTGAAGTGGGAGGTTTACCAGAATCTTTGACTATGCTGTATGTGTAATTATCAACCACAGATATGTGTCAATCTACAAAGTCAAGATTGTAAATTTTGTTTGTTGTTGTTTAGAAAATGCTATAATTCATAAGGTAAGGACATTTGGTAACACTTCTCCTTGTCATACAAATAATGAAGCCTAAAGTGCTATAAAATAAAGAGAATCAAGAAAAACAACTGCAACTGCTGCAACTTTGTTTCTGCCTTCCATCTTCCCGCTGTCCTGAGTCCACTGTCCATTGAAGCAGAATTGCCACAGAAATAAAGTAACAGGACAAAACAGCGTGGTTAGTTACATGCTAGTTTTGTAGGTAACGTTTTTTAGATAGTTTTGTCATATTTAGTGTTGGGACTGGAGGCTAGTTGTTGTGCTTAGGCTGGTGTCCTTCCAGATAAGATTCCAAAGGAAGAACGAAAAGACAGATTCTTCTTCACTTTCTCTCTTCCTCCTCCTCCCAAGACATAGCTGTCTCCATCCACGTTTTTTCTCTGTGGTTTTGTTCTACTGGTAAGTTGATTTAAAAAAATTACATATCTGTTCTGTCTCTAATATAAGGTAACTCATTTTGGAATGTACATGGACTGAAGTTAATCGATTTATTTTTGGAATTTTATGTTGATGATATACAGTAATCTACTATGCAATATTCGTACAATTTAAAATAAAAGATATGCATGCCAGTTGTACTTGTGAGAGCATAACGAGAGCTCAAAAAGGGGAACTATGTAGTGCATATGGAAGTCATTTAATGTAGTCAGAAATTACATTCTCAAAAGACAATAAGAAAGACAAAAAATGTCATTGTATCCATATGATGTGAACAGCTACCCTTAGTCAAACATTTGAATGCTTTACAAAATATTGTTCTTACTAAATCATCAATAAAACATAGGGGGAAGCCTTATGCAATAACCATAAAAGAAAAATAAATTCTGAATTGATGTGTCATTATGTAAAGGAAACCTGATCAATGCATAAATACAAATGTTTTTTTAAAATGCTTAAACCATAAACTTAGCAGCCTTAACTACTTAGGGAAGTCGTCTGGATTTGTACATCATTATTTGAGCTACTGTCTCACATTCTCTGTATTAAGATTTGCAGTGTTTGGTATTAACCAAGGTTAATGTCTTGGTTTTCAGCAGATAAGTAGCTTCTGTTTTGGAGAATCAACAGCTGTGGCTTCTATCAGCAGACTCACAGGCCTGCGAGAAATGATAGAGTTTGGCCTTGTGAGAGAGTCTGACTTTTACACCGACAGTGATTTCTGTAAGACCTTTCATCTAACTGCAAAATAGAAAATAACAGGTCTAATCAAGGGGTGTTTACCAGATTGCTAATGAAATTAATAAAACCACACAACAATTCTGTTTTCAAAATATTCTCTTTGAATAAACCAATAATAGTGTATACTTCTCAAATAATGCAAAGATACCTTCAGAGGTTATTGTATTGGACGTCTGTCTATGAGTCTTAATGGATTGTTTTTGTCCTCACATAGAAAGAAGGACAACTGGTGACTGACATGGGCGAATGGGATCTGCTGGGCCGCTTGTTGGATAAAGTGCAGAGCCACTCCACCGTGATCGGGAAGGTCTGGCTGACCGTGCTGTTTGTGTTCCGCATCCTGGTCCTGCACACCGGCGCTGAGAAGGTGAGGCCCTTGAGTAGCAACAATGTAGGTGAGATAATTGTGCTAGTATTAAAGGGGAGTAATAGCTGGAACAATATCAATAGGTCTCTGGATTGGGAATGTCTCAAACCTCCATTTTTATGATCATTTTGAGTACTGAACATTGTTCCTACTGCACTTTCAACTCTCTGAAGTTTTTAGTGTAATCTCTTCTATCATCTCTTTCCTCTAATCTTGTCTAGGTATGGGGCGATGAGCAATCTGACTTTGTCTGCAACACTCAGCAGCCTGGCTGTGAGAATGTCTGCTACGACAAAGCCTTCCCCATCTCTCACGTTCGCTTTTGGGCCCTCCAGATTATTGCTATAGCAACTCCGAAGCTTCTATATCTCGGTCACGTACTTCATGTGATCCACACTGAGAAGAAGGTGTGTCACTCCAGTGGGCAGTACAAAATGCAAAATATGGCTTTGGATTGATGCTACAAATAAATAATGCTCTGTACCGACTTAAGGTTGCATGATATCAATATTTATGAAATGCCTGTACCTTGTACATCCCTATGCCTATAAAGATTAAATGTAAGAGGACACAATTTTCTGCCATAACACACATTAGACAGGACTTACATCATTACTTTAAATACATCACTGGTCAGTGGATACTGTATATACTGCTATAATTACATATTATAATTTTATAATAATAATATAATTTATAATTTCAAAGTTAAAAGAAGAGTGAATATTATGTGGCCAGAAACAGAACACAAAATGAATACGTTTTTCTGTGTCTTGTAAAAGTGCACAGTCGTCTCTTAACACATTACTATAACCACAATGTTAGCTGGAGAGATGTGGAGGCAGTGTATCTGTCACTGTGCAAAAACATTGATTGATTATTGCAGCTTTAAAGCTATACTATTTTATATTTTACTCATATTTTTTCCAAAATATGTCTAAAAACACAACTTCCAGTGCTTCAATGTTTCAAGGAGGGAGACAGCACTATACCAATAAGTGTTTAGTCATATTTTGGCAAAACTGTTGGGAGTTTATATCTCATAAATTTCTGAACTTGATTTCTGAACACTGCAGACTGACAGTGGTGTTGCCTCCATCTTGATTCTTTCACCTAATTACTTTGAATACATCTGCACTGCCTCTAAATCTGTGTCTTTTTCAGCTTACTGGAAAAGTCATTTTCTTGTCCTTCCATTCCAAGGTGAAGGAGAGGATGAAGAAGCATGCTGATTTGGATGACCAGGCCACTCTGTTCCTTAGGAGGGCCTACAAAGTTCCCAAGTACACCAAGAGCACTGGCAAGATCAGCATCCGTGGCAGTGTCCTTCGCAGTTATGTCCTCCATCTTCTGGCCAAGATTATCCTGGAGGTTTTGTTCATCGGGGGTCAGTACTTTCTTTACGGTTTCACACTCCAGCCTCGTTATGTCTGCACTAGCTCACCTTGCCCTCACAAAGTGGACTGCTTCCTGTCCAGGCCCACAGAGAAGTCAGTCATCATCTGGTTCATGCTGGTGGCAGCAATTGTCTCCCTCATCCTCAGCCTGGTGGAGCTGTTATACCTGTGTTCGAAAGCTGTGAAGGAGTGCATGACGAGGAGGCAGGATTACACAGTGACCCCGGTAACACCTCCACTTTTGGGAAGGAAAGCTTTTAAAAACCGTGACGAGATGATCCAAAATTCTGTGAACCTGGAGCTGGAGCTCCAAGGAAGAAAATTGGGGTCGAACGGGGTCACAGTCGGGGTCAAGGAGGCTGCTAAGAATATACCACCTGAGAACAACAACATAGGGGAGGTCCACATCTGAAGCATTGAGGCTGTGATAGGTTGACCGGTCAAATTCCCGAGTTCCAGTATTTGTGTGCTTTGGCTTTGGGGTGGAAAGGGTGTGTGTGTGCAGTAAATAAAGATGGTGGGTGGGGGGGTAGCCAGCTTTGGTAAACATAACTCAGTCACATGCTAAAAAAGTAGTTAAAGTGACTTAAAGTGACTTTTGTGACATAATAAAAAAATAACAAACATTTTTTCTTGCAGGTGACAGAGCTGTCATTTTAAAACACTGTACATTTTTTTGATAGATTTTGCTAAGAGTACTTCTTTGGAATGATTTAAGACTATGTTATGAAATTTTGATTGAATAAACTTCTCATATTCAGATTGGATCTTTACCTTTTCTTACTTTGTTCAACCATTTCTGAGTTTTAAGTTCAGTTCTGATGAATGTGTATGATAAACATGGTCTATACTTGATCACACTGTTGTTTCATTAAATTATCATGCTCTTATTTCCCACCCTAATCTGTCTCTGAAATTCACCAAGGGTTTTCATATTAAGAACAGCCTCATCTACCAAACCACTGAAGACCACTTATTAATCTATCATACTGTAAATAAAGAGCTACAATTGCTGTAATGCATACAAAGCATTTAGTTAATTGTGTGCTGAAAGAATGCTTGTCAATGCAGTTTAAAACTTTGAAATCATTAATAGGCCACTGAGAATATATGAATCAGCAGAGCTCATATTTATAAACATTGTGTTCCCTTTAAACATGCTTTCATCAGCAAAAACATGTATTCCTCTCAAAAAAGTAAGTATGAACAAGTTGAGCAAAGATATGTCTGGTATTGCAATTATTTTGAGTACTTTTAAAGAAATTGTTTGTAATATAGGTGTATTGAGAACTACACTTATTTGCTTTCTTCACGTTAAATATGAAGCTACCAGCAGGAGACAATTAGCTTGGCTCAGCACAAAGACTGGAAACAAGGAGAACTGCTAACTGGTTCTGTCCAAAGGTAACAAAATGTGCTTACCAGCACGTCTAAAGCTCACTAATTAACCAGTTATACAGATGGGTGACAAATTAAAGGGAAAATGAGGTGTCTTAGTCACATGAAGCATGAACATAGTCTCCGTGACGTCACGGCTTCCGAAGAGCTGTTGTGAAGCTCAATGATGGAGGCTCTGACAGTCACCAACTTGGCAGTCCCTACACCAGATAATTCCAAAAATGGGAAAAGAGGTGGAGCTGAGGCTGGCCGAAACATGGGAGTCTACGAGGATCCTTCAGTACGGTGGCCTGATAGATAGCACTGTGGCCTCTCTCTGTGGAGTTTGCATGTTATCCCCGTGTCTGCATGGGTTTCCTCCAGGTGCTCCGGTTTCCCCACCATCAAAAACATGTTATGTTCAGTGCCATTGACCAGACACTTAATTCGATCTGGAGTTGGTTCCCGGGCGCTGTACAGTGGCTGCCCACTGATGGGTTAAATGCAGAGAATGAATTTTGCTACATGTATGTGTATGTGACAAATAAAGTACCTTTACCATACCTTAAATGAAGTAAGTAAATGATATTGAGTCAAACCAAATAAAAATGAACCTGAATAGAGGTGCATTCTGTTTTCACCAGGTGACCATTTATGGCAAAGTCAACAAATTGTTTCAACATGAACCAAACTAAATTATGGGTTTGAACTTAGAAGTGTCACCAAAATGCTTCAATGTGTCTCTGTATTAACTGGCCCCGGGCGGTAGAAGTTATTTATTTCTTCTATTATTTTTTAAAACATCCAAGACCATTTAACAGACAAAGATCTTGACTTCCTAAAGTGAGACTGAATACCTGTCAATTATTACACGATTGGTCTTTTTTTGCTCTGGTTTGCTGACAGGTACAACGTGACATCAAAGCCAGATGTGTGTTGCGTAATGTGATCCCTCATCAGTTCTGCACAAAACTCCAAGGTCCAACATTTAAGTTAACAATCTGTCCCAACTAGAGACAGTTCTTTCTGACCAGGTCAGCAGGTAAGATGCAATGATTATTGTTCTCTGCTACAGATCGCTGATTTTTTATTTGTAAGGAACACTATAAAGAATGGAAATGTAGAGTATTTTTTGCATTTATATTTTGTAAAAAAGTGATGGGTTTTTATTTTACTGCTTTGCTCTCTAACTGAATGAATATCACTTACATAACTAATCATGGCATCAGATTGCTTTTCTTGTCTTACCTTTCAGTTTTGCCCTCATAACACGTTTTATATGTTTATTGTAGAAATATTGTTGCGTTATAAAGAATATTGATGTAAGATTTTTGAAGTTACATTTACCCAGGGAAAGTTCTTTCCCTCCCGTTTTTCACTTCTTTCATAGTTGTATCTCTATACCAGCCTACTTCAACCAAGCCTCATTAGTACAAGGCCAGTGAGTTGTTCATTCTTCTGTTCAAAATGATTATTTTAGAAAAATATTGACCAACTACCTTTGAGTTCATGGGGAGCTAAGACCCTCTTCTCATGTAGAACATAAAAAAATATTATTCTATTAATATGAACAATGAGCCTTTCTTCCAGCAGGAGCATATTGATTAAATACTATGTTGTGGTTAATGTTTCAGTTAATAAGGTGTGGTGTACGATCAATACAAACAAAACTATTCAGTTTGATGTATTTATTAACTCATGAATATTTATTGTATTTCCTTTTATCTTTTTTTGTCACAGATTAGTAACTGAATATCGCCAAATAAAATATGGGAGACTGGGGTTTCCTGTCAACCTTGCTGGACAAGGTCCAGTCCCACTCCACAATCATTGGGAAGCTCTGGATGAGTGTCCTCTTCCTGTTCAGGATCATGGTTTTGGGTGCCGGTGCTGAGAGCGTCTGGGGGGGACGAGCAGTCGGGTTTCATCTGCAACACTCAGCAACCTGGTTGTGTGAACGTCTGCTACGACTGGACCTTCCCCATCTCGCACATTCGCTTCTGGGTCCTCCAGATCATCTTCGTCTCCACACCAACGCTGCTGTACCTGGGCCATGCCATGCACATCATCCACAAGGAGAACAAGCTGAGGGAGCAGCAGCGATTGAGCCCTGGCGGGACCCGGCTGCTCAAAGTACCCAAATACTCAGACGAAAAGGGAAAGGTGAAGATCAAGGGGAACCTGCTCGGGAGCTACCTGACCCAGCTCGTGGTCAAGATCATCATTGAGTCTGCCTTCATAGTGGGCCAGTACTACCTGTACGGCTTCATTATGGTCCCCATGTTCCCCTGCTCTAAGAAGCCCTGTCCCTTCACTGTGGAGTGCTACATGTCCCGACCCACAGAGAAGAGCATCTTTATTATCTTCATGTGGCAGTTTCCTGCGTGTCTCTGCTTCTCAACGTCATTGAGGTTTTGTATCTGATTTGTACCAGGGTCAAATGTAGGTCCAGGCCTCACACACTCACTTCAGCAGAAAACCCTGCCAGCCTGTCAGCACCCAGTGGACGACTACAGAGGAAGCACTCAAGCAGAACAAGATTAACATGGAGCTAGAGAGTGTTGGTGGAAGCCTGGACGGGGCCAAAGAGGAGAAAAGACTACTGAGTGATCATTAAAAACCACTGACCTGACCATTTTATTGTATGAAATGCTCCTTTCAGAATTCTGCCTCACGTTTCCTTGTTCTAAAAGACTGAAGTGAAGTGTTCTTACATTGTGGTGTACAAATCATGACAGAACTTTAAGGAATGGGGTTATTATTTCAGCGCCACGTTGTTGGAATTTTACAATTACTTTGTATTCTTTAACTGGAAATCTAATAATGGAAAACGTGCAATATTGATAATGTATTTATGTTCTTCTATACTCACTTGTTAATCTATGAATGAGCAGAATTTTGTCTACGCCCAGTTATTAAATGTGTCCTTTAAGTAACTGCCGTGTTCATTAGCTAGGATTTAAAATAATTGACAATGATGCTAATGATTATTGTGGCGAAGAGTCTGTTTATATAGTTTCTACTGTATATGAAGACATTTTTGTATGCTGTATTGTTTTTAATAAATGACTGGATAAAGTTTCATGACATTTCTTTACCTTCAGATGACAGGTTTACATTTTATACTTCAAACACCTTACTTCTTAAAGACTAGTTTTACACTTCTTTGGTAACACTGTAGGGTTGTAACTGATGAAAACCAGAAAACACATTTGGTTTGGGATAATAATAATAATAATTGCTTGCTATCACTTCAGAATAGGGAGCGGTTGATACTTTGACAGATATTAGCCACCAAATCTTTAATTAAATATAATTAAAAAGAGTTCAAAGTAAAATGAAAACAAGGAAAACATGTTGCAGGACCTCCTTTCATTTCTCAGATCTAAACTATAAATGCAAAGTCTCTCTTTATAGATGTCATAATGTACCTGGAGATGTTTTTTGCCACCCAACTTTTCAACAATGTTTTTTCTATTCTTACCAGCGTGGCTTTTTTCCACGGAGAAGCCACCTTCACCTTGGTGGGTGCAATGTCATCAATAACATTTGTAATTTTAGAATTGAAATGATCTACAAGCTCATTAAGGTAGGGTAAGCAGTCTCAAAGAATACCTTCCACATATTCAAAAGATGCAGAATTGGAGGGAATCATTAAACAAAGTGGCAAACAAAACTCCACCCTTTCTTTTAGTTTTGCTCACGAAACTGAAGTTGGGAGGGGTAGACTTGATAAACTGCACTGTTAACTCGGTCTAACCAAGTTTCGCAAGTGCAATGGAAGCCAAATGTGTTTCTAAGCAGATTCACCATTCTTCATCTATCAGGCCACAAGACAGGAATTGAGAAAGTTGATCTTATTTACTTTAACTGTATGAATTGAATTGTTATTTTGTATTTAGCTTGAAGCTTTGGCAATACTATTAACATTCATGGCAATAAAGCAAATTTGAATTGAATTGAATTGAAGTGGCTGGCACACAGAGCGCCGGTTTGTCTTGGGAAGAGCCATGAGTGCCATTAGCCTTATAGCAAATGTGTCAAACTGGCTGAAGACTTAAATCCAATGCTGGAGGTGGACACCGATGGTGGTTTAGGGGAAGTGGGAGTAGGGCCAGAGAAGGAGTAGGTTTGTTCCTAGCAGTGACGAACTCTTTCATCTGGTCAATGACCTCCAATAAGGGGGAGGAGGGAGAAAGGGTTAGGAAATGAGGGACACCTGGATGCAGTTTGGGGGTGAATAAGTTTCATCCTTGTAGGTGGGTGTTGGTGACGGGAGAAGAGACTCTTCCTCTTGGCTCTGATGTCTCCCATGATTGAAGCTCTCTCCGGGCAGAAGCTGAAGCTCTCCTTCAAGGTTCTCTTATGTCTTCTTCTTGTTTTGATTCCTCTTGTCTCTTGTCCTTGGCAGAGGGAACAAATGAGTGACGCAAGAAGTAAAAGTAGGTTAGACATGAACACTTTTACTCCTGACTTGTTAAGGCAAAATCCATCTGCTTTAAAAAGATTTCTGCGATCCCAGAAAAAGTGAAATTTTTAATAAAGAACACTGACTGGACAGTATATTGTTGAGATCCACGGATAAAATTAAGAGGATCAAATACATCCATAAAAATTGCAGGGGCTACACAAAAGGTCACTATGGACCTGCTCAGTATATCAGTTCGGTACAAAACCTGTCCACCAAAACCATATTTGTGAAGCTTATAATATTAGATTTGCTTTGTGCAAATCACACAGCCTGTAAAGAAACTTTCTGTTGACATAGCCCCAACAAAAAATGAACGTGACTGTTCAATCCTCACGTAGTTGCAAGCTGTACAGGTGTTCATGTTATTGTGCCCGTGCACTTTACTCCTTGAGTCACAAAGAAATTCACAAAAATACTCACTTTGTGGGTACATAACTGACAAATATCATCTAATACAAAATGCTAAATAATGAGATCAGGAGCACAAGAATTTGGTTTATAGCACTGCCAATCATTAACAGGATAATCTTGTCAGTGCTCAGCCCAAAATTTTGCACTTGAGATTATCATTTCCAGATGTCATGACAACGTGACAGCTCACACTGTTGCGCAATTTCATCAGAACTAAAGTTCAAGGTACCATAGACAGGTCTGATTTAGTGCACTGGGCTCTTTATCATTCAACTGAACTGTTGGTGACTGGTCTGTTTGTCTGCACAGAGTCCTTTTACATTCAAAAGGTAAGGTGTACAATTACTTTTTTGTTTTATATTTGTTTGTTTGTTTTATGCTCCATAATATCCAACATGTAATAAATTCTTAAATTTCATGAAAACCTAAATTTCATGGTCTTACTTTTGAAATAAGATTTCAACTAAAAAGGTTTATAAAGATTGATATAGAATATTTATAATTATGAGTATATTCTTACATTGGCAGGGGGTTGTAAGCATGTTAGTATATGTGTGTGTAAGCAAAGCCAGACTACAGACAAACTCTACAAGCCATCTGATCATTCGCACTGATGCATATTTTCCATAATCCATGAGGATAAAAATCTGAATTATCTATATATTTCCACACTTACTTGGAGTTCATTTCAACTTTCACTAGATGTGTAGTCTGCAGACACATTAAAGAGCCTTTCTTCTTGTGAAAAAATAAACATATTTATAGATGCAGCGAACGTACAGACGTCTATTGAATGTATATTCCTCTCCTATCATTACAACCAATTTTATAGCATCCTCTTTACATTCTGAACATTATACTATACTATAGATTAGGGTTTTTACAACATGTGATTGTCTTTCATAACCAAAACAGACTTTCTTCTGTTGTTGATGATGTTTTACCATCCTGTTAAACAATAATCATAAACCACAGTACCTAGTACTATTTGCTGAAAACAAAACAGAATGCTGTAAGCTATACTTTTGTAACTGCAATATGTAGAATAAAATATTACTGGTTAATTAGACAACAGTCATGACTTAAATAAATAAAGACAAGATCAAAACTTAATTACGTATTTTGAGAAATTATACTTTTGTTCTCAAAAACTTGATACAGATTTAATACCATTTAGGTCACTACAACTTAACACAAGTCTGGCAGTAAAATATATTCTGGCTACATGGATACTTGCTATGTGAGACTGTTTAAAGTTGAGTAGTCTGCATATATCATTAAACACTGCTATTGTATATAACAGCTAAATGAGAAACAAAGGTTTCAGGTTTCTTAACAAATCTTTAATCCTGTCTCTACCTGACCACAGTCTGGAATATCATAATACACTTGGGTACTGATAAATGGGGACTTGCAATGTTTTGTCTAAATTGTTATTTTATATGCTTTTATTCATCATATCAGAGACCATGGGAGAATGGGGTTTTCTGTCCTCTCTACTGGACAAGGTCCAGTCCCACTCCACCGTCATAGGGAAGGTCTGGCTGAGTGTGCTGTTTATCTTCAGGATCATGATCCTTGGAGCCGGAGCAGAGAAGGTCTCCTTCAATTTGTTCATACTTTATAAAAGCATTATACCTTTCAGCATGAATCTATAATAACACCCTCTAGTGGCCATAATGAAGGTCCACCGCTCCAGGGCAACAGTAGCTGACTCAGTTTAATTACACATTTTCAGGCTTTATATTTATAATAACACCTTTTGTTATATTGAAACATTTTTAAATGATTAAATAGCTTTGTCTTCTTTATCTCTTGATAAGAGTTGTTCATCCATCAATCCGTGCATCCATCTTCTGCGCTGCTTATCCTTTGAAGAGTCACAGGGCCAGGGGCTAAGAGAATAATAATCCTCTCTGTGCTAAATTAGACTACTTGTTAAACATACATATTTTTCTTTATTTAAGTTTGTTTATTTAAGTATAAACTTTTTTATTTACTTGAAATGCCGCTGATTGTTTATACAGCCTCACCACAACAATGTATCTTCAGAATCCCATTTTGTAGCCATTATTATCACAATTCTCAATTACCTTCAATAACAACACCAGATCCTCATAGATGTGTACTACAAGCTAATTAAAATGCTCATAAAAGTAACTCAACAATCTACATGCTGTGCATACATTTGTAATTATATTCATTTCTCATCTGAACATTACAGGTGTGGGGCGATGAACAGTCGAATATGATTTGTAACACAAAACAGCCTGGTTGCAAGAACGTCTGCTATGACCACGCCTTCCCAATCTCACACATTCGATTCTGGGTCCTCCAGATTATCTTCGTCTCAACACCAACGCTGATCTACCTTGGTCATGTCATCCACATTATCCACAAAGAAAATAAAATGAGAGAGTATATACAGACCCACTCTAGTAGCGAAATCGTCAAAGTTCCCAAGTACTCTGATGAAAAAGGCCACGTTAAGATTAAAGGCAACCTGCTGGGTAACTACATAACCTCCATATTTTTCAGAATCCTTCTGGAGGTAGCGTTCATTGTGGGGCAGTATTATCTGTATGGGTTTATCATGGACCCAAGAATCGTCTGCTCCAGAGCACCTTGTCCCTTCACTGTAGAGTGCTACATGTCCCGACCCACAGAGAAGACCATCTTCATCATCTTCATGCTTGTAGTCTCCTGCATCTCTCTTCTACTCAACGTAGCAGAGCTCTTCTACCTGGCGTGTTTTCGCACATCTAGACGAAGGTTTAAAACACTGCCGTCCACTGCTATTTCCATTCACCCACTTTTAAAAGGTGACAGGGATGGAAAATGAGAAGCTTACTCTCCATAATGCCAATCACAGTACAGTAATTTAGATCCAATGTGCAAAATTTAAACAGCCGCATAGTTACCAAAAAAAAAAGAAAAAAAAAAGTGACTAACAGGGCTAAATCCACAAAAGACCGTAGCTCACATGTGTATAAATTACACAATGTGATACTTCAAAAAGACCTGAAAATGAAGCAAATTTGGAAATGTATTAGGAGACTATTTGTGAATAGTTACAAGCATTCATATATTTAAAAATGTGATTATACGATAGTGTCAATGAAGCAAACTTTTAAAATTTGTTAAGGACAAAAGTGAGTTTTTGTGTGCCAGCTGTGACATTCGCAGAAGTCATTAATTCTGCTGTGGTCTGTGACTACATGGCTTGATGTCAGAGGGACATGACCCTATAACTTGACTTGACTGCAGATAGCTCTGTGTCTCTGTACCAATTTGCTTTGGCCAAAAGCCATTTTGTAATGCTACAACCTTTTTATGTTCTAAAGCAGTGCTGAGGTGCCAGTATACTTTTTAAATTTATATTTTCCGTTTATTATATAATTTGCTGGCATGACTTTTAAAACTGTAAATATTTGAATTGAATTACAAATAATTTGTTTTTTCATGTTTAATATGACTGTATGTGCCTTGTGTTTGTAAATTATTGTAAAAAAAAAAAGAGTACTGAGGAAAGGGTACACAAGGGGAGTCCAAGTAATTTTCAAACTGCCTCTCAGTTTTTGTTTCATTATCACTGTTGTTACTCAACATACTCATGCATAATTAATTATTTCTGTTCCCAGGTGTCACTGAAATTACATTTAACCTACTATCACTAATTTAGTAACAGAAAAACAATTTTTGAAAAACCTCTATTGGATATTGTATTAAAATAATCACATCAGAGGAGAAATAAAGATGTAAATAGTCAGATATAGAATATAGATCAATATCACCAGAAAGTATGTTGTACAATCTCTGTAAATTATTGCTGATTTAGTTTACTGTAACTTATGGAGTTAATGCAACGTAACTACAAGGATCACACAGCTCTAAAGCTCTAAAGGTGATATGAATAATATTTATTGTATTTTTTTATTTTTATATTTATAATTTCATCAAACTAATCACAATATAAGTAAAATCACAACATTTTTATTGTACAAGCATTTGTTGTATTTCCTCCACACCTATGTCAGCGGTTTTTAACATCTTTAACTCTTTCTTTTGCTTTTACACTCGCAAATGTACAGTATGGTTCAGTGTCACCTTGTAACCAGCAACAGGATGTTGTCAGCAAAGAGAAGGTGCTATATCTGCTCAGCACCACACAGCAGACAAAGCTGATGCAAAAATAAAGTTGAACTTCTAGCAAGCTACAGACCCAGATGTGTTATTCACTAGTTGATAACCATAGTATTTTGTTGACAACACACCAAAAGTAGAGGGAATATTATCATATCATTTGGTAAGAAACAGTCAGAAAAGACATACATTCAAAACCTTACTGTGTATGTAAATATTATCAAGACTATTTACTTGAAGTATCACAAGTAAAAATACTCAATCAGCAGAAAAATGGTCCCTGTCAGTGTTTTCCTATTATATATGATGTTTAGGATTAATTTTACAGCTGTTGATGTTTAAGATTGCGCTGATTTAATTTACTGTTGGGTAGTTTAATCTACAGCAATGCATCATATTCTATAAGATTATCATACTGTATGCTTGTAGCATCAGTGTCCATAGGCCTGTCTCTAAAAGGTTTTGTGTGCTCAGAAAAGCTACCCTGTTTTCAGCTTTGTGATGATGCATTCTCCAATTTATCACCACTTTTTCAACATTCATCCAAAGGATCCTAAGGGGTCTATAACTGATATACTATAACTAATTTTACTAGGCCTATAGCTTGTTGTGACGATCCCTTCGGCTTTACAGAGCTTCATAGGGAGTTTCACTGTTTATCTGTCCCAGTGCCATTTTCTGCTGCAGCAAGCAGCTTTTTGCAGCCAAAACCATAAACAAAAACACAGTGTGCCGCACTGTATCTGCTGGATGTGTAAACTGTTTGCCAACTTTGATATCAACTTAAAAGCCAATGGGGGTTGTTGTGACCTTACCGTTACCCAGAGATGAATTCTAATGAACCACAGGTTAACGGACAGATTATATATATATATCTATACCCTACGCTCACACTGGACTTACTTCCCAGACTTTGTGCCTGAACAATGTTAGAGTGAAATACAACTGTTTATTACGTTTGATAAGCAGCAGCAACATCTGTGAGGATCAGTCAATACATGGATGTGACGGCACTCCTCATAATCGCACCTCATTTCAAAACAAAACAGTGATTATCTGTCTCTTAATCAAGGTTCAGTTACAACTCTGGCTAATGCAAGATGGAGAGCTGTGTGACTATTGATTATTAAAATGTTGATTAGCAGGGCAGACTAGGCAAATTTGGATGCACATCTCTTAGTAAATGATAGGCATCACATATTCAGTCAAGACATAGTATAAATCGTATTTTACCTTTGAAAATTTATTAAAGGAAACATGGGGAAGCCATGTTTGAATGGGTCTGATGTAGCTGATATCTAGTAAGTTTTTTAGCTATAATTTACAGGGGCTATACTTAAATTTGTCAGTAGAGTATATGCTGTATTGTCAGCCAGTTCAAGCACAGTTGATCCACATCCAGCCTCAGCCAACACTACCACAAACCCAGAACAGACGACTCTTGCAAATCACACAGACCCAGGTGAAATACAGGCAGCCTCAGCCAGAATGGGCACTGCCAGAGATGTTCAGCCGCCATCAGATACAAGCAGCTCAGGTGCTAACGGAACAGTTGCTGCTCCACCAAATGACCCAGCAGATTACTTTATTCGGGAGGAGTTTTTGCGCAGAGGACCATTCAAACAGGGACCGGGACTTTTCTAGGAGAGGTGTTCATTCAGGCTTATTACAGAGACATACTGTTTAAAGGAGAGAGGATTGTGTCATGCACCTGATTGTCAGCACCTAGGGGTACCAGAAGCTCAAAACAAGAGCCAATAGCAACAGCAAAGAAAAGCTGTTTTGGTTTGTCAGAGAAGACTTGGCAAATTTTTTATGGTTGCAACCCACATACTCAGCTCTGCTGCTCATCTCACAAATGCATGTTTCTTACAAATGTGGCACCATTTAAAAGGGAAATTATCATGCTTTTCAGTTGTACAAGGTGTTTTGCCAAGAAGCATTGTTACATCAAAGAAATGAGCTACCAAACACAAATTTCCTTACTTTTTGTTCCTATTTTATATACTATTTTTCTATAGCAATGTTTCAAATGATACTGTGAAAATGACAGTGTGAAAGAGGCTTTACAGAGCTTTATAGCAAGTTTCTGTTACGGTGTGACTTGACTGTTTTTGTTCACTTTCACCTCCTCAACGCTCTCCTGGTGCAGTTTTCTGTTGCAGCAAGCAGCTGCTTTCAGCCAAAACGTTTGCAACTAGAAGAATTGTAACTACTGGATGTGTAAACTTTGAAGAAATCTAACGAACCACGGGGTAACAGACAAGTAATGTGGTCACAAATTGGGCAAATAATATTACACATAAAATAGTTTCTTCTGATCTGCACCTACCAACGTTGTTTTTTAAACGTTGTTGTTGGAAGAGACCACAAGATGGCGCCATAAACAGACACGACCCGAACATCATTTTCGTCCCGCCCACACTGCGCTGAACACCGGCTTCCTTTTTCCTCACAATAACAACAGCTGGTTGTAGCAGCTTAAAGATGGCCGCCGCAACCATGGCGGGGCTGGACGCCCACAGGATGGAGGAGAAGAAGTTCGAGTACTTCTCCTCCATCAACTCCATGGCAAAGAAAATAATGCAGGAGAGGGAGAAAATTAAAGCCAAGCACGGCTCGTCCTGGGAGAGAATGACGCCGGAAGAGCAGGACAGCGCCATCGACAACGGGATGATGGATCCCCAAATCCGAGCCCGATACGCTATGCACAGAGTTGACCGTGAAGAAGTGGTCTGTTACCCTAAACTGCTCATTCAGACGGGTCAAAAGATAGTTCGCTTCGGGGAAGAGGTACTTAAACCACATTTGGATATATATTAAATAGCTTTGTGTGTATTTTTAGAGGTCAGAATAGCCAGTGTTGTCATGGTTGCTAATTAGCCACGTAACCGTTGAAATATGTCGGTTAACGTCACAGTGGCTACCTGATACGTAGATGTTGGACTTACAACAGTCTCCTATTTGTTAAACATGAATAATTTGTTGAATACATGTTCTCCGAGAAAATATGAAGTTTTTGTTTGGTTGCTATTTTTTATAAAATGTTTAAACGTGTATAAAAAGGCTATGTGACTTTGTCTTAAATGTAGTAGGGATGGGCCAGAAATGTCATCAAGTTTAAAGGCTCCTCCTGAGTGAAAGTTAAAGAAATCCGATGGTTAATTGTGGTTTTAAACTATAGGCTACATTGTGGTCAGAACATGACAAACACTTGCCCAACAGTGGATCACTTAACAAATCTGAGGTAGAAAAAAAATATATGACTAAATCAGTTCTTTTCCTCAACAAAATAAATATCTTAATAATAAAATTAAGTGCCAATTAAATCAAACATTTATTGAACGTTTGTTAAGTTGTTATTGAGGAAAATTATATCGCAGTAATAATCAATGTTGTGTTATTGCCCAGCCCTTGTATAAACTACATTACTTTAGTTAAGAAAAGCTCTGTGTGTCTGTTGAAACTGTAACTTGTCTGTGTGGGGGTTTTGTTTTAAGGATATTTCCTGGCAAGATGAGCATTCTGCCCCCTTCTCATGGGAAACAAAGGTAAAAATAATCCGGTTAAGTGTAAGTCTGATTGACTTTTTCAATAACTGATCGTGTAGACAAACCTAAATTTATACAACCTTTTATTTTTTTATTTAATATAATGTGCAATACATAATCAACATTCACATGTTGTGTTGAGCTCAGTTGAGTTGTGAGATATTGTTAACAGATATTGAAACTTTGCTCTGATCTTTCAGAGCCAGTTGGACTTCAGCTTGACCTCTAGCTCTGCAGACCTGGGGATCTCAGCCTCGCAGGCGGACTCAAAGGCTGTGAAGGTTCCTCATTCCAACCAGCTGGGCAAGAGTACACCAGGAGCCAAGGTGTCATAAAGAGTTTACTGTTGTTGTTGTTTTAGTTAGCATATTTTGGTTGGAAAGGAAAGAAGCACTTAAGTCATCACATGTTACTGGAGATGTAGTTTATTACTTGACTTGGTTTTATGTAGTCGACATACAACACAAGAGTAGGGTGTAATCAATTGCAGTTAAGCAATCACACTTTGGACTGATATTGGAAAAGCAATTTTGAGCCTTTGAGTTGGACAGTAACCTAAATTATAGTGAGTACATATGGTTCACTGCTTAGTATCACACACTAAAACTGAAAAGTACCAGTGTAGTTGTTAAGATGTTCTCAGTGGTTTACTTTATAATAAAAACATTTAGAGTAACATGTCAGGTTACAGAGGATGCTTTAAATAAACAATCCTTTCAACACTCTTATGATTATCATGGGTGGATGTGGCACATTTAAGTGTGAGGATGCGGTTATGTGATTTCTCAATTCCACGTGAATGTGGCTAACCATCAGACAACATAAAAATGTGGTTTATGTTTGGTTAACACAGTGTTTGTCCATGACAACAATCTGCTAGATCTATAAATACAGCATTGTTGGCTTGTTTGAATGGTACCTATCCCCAGTAGGATTAACCTTTACCTTAACTTCAGATTTTTAAGAAGAAATTCTTACATAAAATTGATACTGGGACTCTTACAGGAGAGACCAAGCAACTGTACATTTCATGAATACATCCCCTAATCTTGGGAGAGTTTATATTAAAAATGTTATTCTGTGATTGTGAAGGTGACTGTCAGCGAGGGACGGAGGCCAGAGGAAGAGTCATCTTTCTGGAAGATCAGTGCTGAGAGGTCCAGGCTCGAAGGAGAGCAGGCCAACTTCCAGTCCATAACCCCCAGCCAGATCAAATCCCTCGAGAAAGGAGAGAAATCTCTCCCCTCCTACCTCCGACAGGTAAGCCCAGCGTTTCCCAGTATCTGGGGGCATTTTCCATTTGAGGAACAGCTAGCTCAAGTAACAGCTAACATTTTTCTTCGTATATTTTGGCACAAGCATTGCATTTATATGGTCTGTTTCGTTTCCAACAAACAACAGCTTGAAAGCAAATTCCCACCCAAACACTTGTCTTAGTGAGCGGCGTATCCTGAAATAGAATCTAGCCTGACGCTGAGATAACTGGCATCTGTGAGGCCTCCACAAGTGTCTGCGAAGCAGATGG